CATTTTTCAAAAAATTTCTTGCACTGTGCAATCAAAATTTTTTTATTTTTTGCACTGTGCGGCGTTCCAAAAAAAAATTTTTTTTGCACTGTGCAGTTCCTCAAGAAAACATTTTTTTTGCACTGTGCAAGCAAAAATTTTTTATTTTTTGCACTGTGCGGCGTTCCAAAAAAAATTTTTTTTGCACTGTGCAGTTCCTCAAGAAAAAACTTTTTTTGCACTGTGCAAAAAAAGTTTTTTGATTTTTTGCACTGTGCGGCGTTCCAAAAAAAAATTTTTTTTGCACTGTGCAAGCAAAAATTTTTTATTTTTTGCACTGTGCGGCGTTCCAAAAAAATTTTTTTGCACTGTGCAGTTCCTCAAGAAAAAACTTTTTTTGCACTGTGCAAAAAAAGTTTTTTGATTTTTTGCACTGTGCGGCGTTCCAAAAAAAAATTTTTTTTGCACTGTGCAATCAAAAATTTTTGATTTTTTGCACTGTGCGGCGTTTCAAAAAAAATTTTTTTTTGCACTGTGCGGCGTTCCAAAAAAAATTTTTTGCACTGTGCAATTTCTCAAAATAATTTTTTTGCACCGTGCGGTTCTCCCAAAAAAATTTTTTGCACCGTGCGATTCTTCAACTTTTTTTTGCACTGTGCAATTTCTCAAAATCTCATCGCACTGTGCAATTGCACTTTTTTGTTTTCCCGCACGGTGCAATTTTTATCCGTTTTTTTTTGCAAAATTTACGCACTGTGCAAAAGAATTTTAAAATTGATTTTTCGCACAGTGCGCGAAATTTTTCGCACGACAACCGCACTGTGCAAAACTGTTCTTTTCTTTTGCACAGTGGCCAATTCTCGCTTCTGCACTGTGCAATTGATCGCTTTCTGTTGTCGCGCGACAACTTCACAATGAAAAGTTCATTTGTTCTTTGACGCACACTGCAATCGTCGATTCATGCTTTTTCATCGGGAAATTCATCGTTTCTCTTCGACGCGCGACATTGCACAATGCAACCGGCAATTTCGTTTCGATGCACTGTGCAATTCATCGCGTTTCCTTTGTCGCGCGACATTGCACAGTGCAAATCTTTTTGTTTAATTCTGCACAGTGCAAGACTCATTTCTTCGTTGCACTGTGCAATTCATCGTGTTTCCTTTGTCGCGCGACATTGCACAGTGCAATCGGCCCTTCTTTTCATCTCCGCACAGTGCAAACATTTTTGGGTAAAATTTGCACAGTGCAAAATCCTTCAGACTTCTGTTCGCACTGTGCAGTTCATCGCGTTTCCTTTGTCGCGCGACATTGCACAGTGCAGCCGATTCTTCTCATTTCCGCACTGTGCAAGCCTTTTTTGTTTAATTTTGCACACTGCAAAATCCTCTTCTTCTGTGCACTGTGCAATTCATCGCGTTTCCTTTGTCGCGCGACATTGCACTGTGCAAAATTCCTTCAAACTTTCCTTTGCACTGTGCAACCGTTTTTGTTTACTTTTGCACTGTGCAAAATCCTTCAAACTCCTCTCCGCACGGTGCAATTTCTTTTTAGGTTGTTTTTGCCCAAATTGTCATGTTTTTGTGTGGTTTCCAAGAAGTCCTGGATGAATTCCAGATAATTTGACGTCCCAAAATTAGGCACGCACTTGAATTCGGGCTTGCAGACGACAGGATTCCGATGAATGGGGCTCTGAAATTGGGTGATTAAGGTTTTTGACCAAAAATCGCTTACTTTTTAAGGATTTTTGGCAATTCAATAGACTTTTTATATAAAATACGGGGTCAATTTTTGTTCATTTATCTAAAATCTTCATTATTTCATCATAAAACTTCCAAAATTGACAATTTTTTATATTATCCATGACAATTTTTTTTTGATTTTTAGCTGTTTTTTATATTTTTCGGATGGAATTTCTCTCAAAAACACCTAATATTTGCTCTATCCCCCCATTTTATTACTCGTTACACTCTGCTTTTGCACTAAATTCGCGATTTTCCCACGCGTTTATGCGAAAACATGAATTATTTTCTCGGATCCAATAAATATCTGCTCAAATAACCGCTTCGAGGACCAGAAACCGGCCTCCCAGAACCCGTCGTTGCTCCACATGCCCCCAACTTTATGGGATTTATGGATTTGAGCACATGTTCCCGAAAATTTTTACTGTTTCTGACTACTATTTTAAAATTTTATTGTGTTTTCCGACTTGTGTGCGTCGAATTTTTACTATTTCTCGCAAAACATCGCTTTTTCAACAGACATTTTATTTTTGCACAGTGCAAAAAAAAAATTTTATTGCACAGTGCGGAGTTTCAATTTTTGCACAGTGCAAAGTTCCATGATGATTGCACAGTGCAGTCGAAATTTGATTTTTCCCTTTTCCTTTCGCACAGTGCACAAAAATTTTGGAACTGCACAGTGCAAGATTTTGTCGCTTTGCACCGTGCAGAAATTTGATTTTCGTCGCACCGTACGGAGATTTAATTTTTGCACAGTGCAAATTTTTTTCATGACTGCACTGTGCAGTCAATTTTTCATTTCTTCCTTTTTTTGCACCGTGCAGAAGCTTTTTTGGATTGGTTTTTTTACCTGCACGGTGCGGACTTTTTTTTTTGCACGGTGCGGATTTTTTGATGACTGCCCTGTGCAGTCAACCTTTCATTTTTTTTATTTTTGCACTGTGCAAACTACTTCTTGCCAGCACAGTAAAAGATTTCATTTTTTGCACGGTGCGAAACTTATTTTCCGCCGCACTGTGCAGATTTTCGACAATTGCACCGTGCAAAAAATTTTGCGACATATTTTTTGAGTCGCACTGTGCGAAATTTTTTCTTTTGCACTGTGCAGCGCTCTTTTTTTCAAATTCCTCTTCTGCACTGTGCATCTAGTTCGTTCTTGTTTATGCACGGTGCAAAATTTATTTTCTGCCGCACCATGCGGAATTTTCATATTTTGCACTGTGCAAAAAAATTGAAGCATCTTCACCGTGCGAAAAACTTTTGATTTTTTTTCAGAATTGCACAGTGCGAGACATTTTTATGGTCGCACTGTGCGACATTTTACCTTTTGCACTGTGCAGCGACATTTTTTCAAATTCCTCTACTGCACTGTGCATTCTTCTTTGTGCACGGTGCAGAATTTATTTTCTGTTGCACCGTGCGGAGTTTTAATTTTTGCACAGTGCAAAAAATTTGAAAAGTCTGCACCGTGCAGCACCGTTTGAATCATGTAGCCGACGCATTCCACTCGAACTTCTGTGCTCCAACTCATTTTTTTATACGAATAGTTGTTTAAATGATTTTTCATTATTTTATTTGAATTTTTGCATAATTTGCAACGTTTTTGGCAATTTCCTTACCTGTTTTCAACGTCAGCTCCATCGAAACCCCCCCCCCCAAAAAACCCGACATTTCTCGGTGATTTTGGACCGAAAAACTCTGAAATTTCTCGATCATTTTCAACCGAAAAACCTTGGTTTTCGGGGTAAAAGACCCCTTTTTCAAAAGGTTGTAGCGACCTCAGGTTGCACTTAAAAATCTTGTGATTTCGTAGGCAAAAAATAATGTCACTGAAAAATACATATTCCAAAAACGAACTCTCTGCGCCGCCTCCGCCGAAAGTTATAGCCTCCTACTTTCCTGCACATTTCTTGAAAGACCCTGTATTTCTATTCTAACCTTTGCACAGTGCAAAAGATATTCTAACCTTTGCACAGTGCAAAAGATCTAGGTTTCTGCACCGTGCAGCGCGCTTTTTTCAAATTCCTTTTCTGCACAGTGAACCCAAACTCCAAGAAGTGGCCAATTTTTTGCCAATTTCTCTCCCGAACCTTCGTCGTTTAATTCGGCTGCCCGAAGGCATCTTCTCCCGTCTTCCCTTCCGGATCTTTGAGTTCTTTTTGGGGTTCAAAACAAAAAAAAAAAAAAAAAGTTGGAGGCATCGGGCACCGGGAGGAAGGAGCGACGCGTCCGCTTACAACTTGTCCGTCTTCGAGGCTTAGCTCAAGAAAATGGACGAGCGGCGGAATGTCGGCCTTAAACGGGTATCGGGTTTCGGCCGCGCGGCCCCCCACCGTTTGACCGGAACTTGCGGTTCGACTCGCCCGCTAATGCTCGGATCGGATTACTGCGTGCGCCCCGCGGGCATGTTAATTTCCGCACGTTCTGTGGTTTGCGGTGTTTTTTGTTTGTTTCGATTTCTAATCCCCGCTCATTTTCGTTTTCAATTTTTTTGCGGGAAAGCGGCTGCGAGGCGGCCGAAACAAAAATTTGAAACTGTAAGTGAAGTCTTCAGAGAGATCCACTGTGATTTTTAGACAGTAAAATCCATGGATTGTTGCGTAATACGGCGATTTTACGATAGTTACTTTTTTGATGGTACTTTACAAAAAATTTCAAACAACAGATCAGTTATTGTAGCTATGATCTCAATTTTTGACACGGAGATACCACAGGGCGTAGAGAAAAGCTGTGAAAAATTTTGTAAGATTACGGCCAGATTAACATATTCTAAAATACGATTTTACATGATATCCCACAGTTTTTAGATTTTTTTACTTTTTCTTTCAAAATTATCCAAATTTCTGAAATTTTTGGATATTTTTTTAATCGATATGATACTACAAGCTTTGACAAAAAGCTGTGCAAAATTTTGAATGATTTAGACTACTGTAACATACTTTAAAATACGATTTTTCGCGATCGTCATCATTTTTGCGCGAAACTTTCCGTCCTCCGAAATGATTCCAACTCCAATCGATTTTCAGCTCCATCTGCCATTGCTCCCTTCCACAGGACACTACGAACCTCCACGGTGCTACACACCGCCCGCAGTCGGCCCACGACCCCGCCGCAACGTCGCGAACAACCGATCAAAATAGGCGCGAATCCGGTGGCCGCGACGAGTGAAGCGGGCGCCCCACCCCCCTCCCCCACCCCGAACTTCCATCACGGTCGCCCCCACACCGGTCCGGAGGCCACAACGCTTGCCGCCGAACGGGGCACGGGCCCCGGCCCGGCCCCATGTTCCTGCAGTTGGACCCGGCCGCGCTCTCGGCGGAGACCCTGGCCCGGGCCGCCGTCATCTTCAGCGTGTTCGTGTTATTGCTCTTCTCCTCGCTCACCTCCATTCATGTTTTGCTCAGCAACCGCAACCTCAATGAAGTCACCGGGTTTTACATGGTGAGAGTTTGGGATTTTTTGCAAATTTTACTGGTTTAAAAGCAATGCTGCTGTATTAAACTTTGCACATATTATTGTAATGACAGTAGAATTAGTTTAAAGTGACGTTTTATACGATGAAATATGTTTGAAAGCAAGTTTGGGAAAAAAATTTTGAAAAAAGTGATCTTTTTCAAACAGTGATTTCTCACTGCTGCCTCAGGGCTAGTAAAAATATTTAGAGCGTTTTTTGATATATATGACGTCAGTTCAAAAATATATATCGCTCACGTTGCATTGCCATCAACAACACAGTAAAATCCCCCTTTTATTCTGGCATCCTCGTTTCAAAAACCGCACTGTGCGGCACATCTCGAACCGAATGGAACCAGTATTTTCGCTCAGAAACACCCCATGCTCTCTTCATTATTTATCCATGAGCGTATTTTTGTCTTTTCTAATTAGCCCCTGCGGCCCTGTCGGCTTCATTTATTTTCGAAAGCGGAAAATTGCTAAATGACATGACTTTTGACCCCTTTTTTACTGTGATGAAGTGGTACAGGAGGGAAAAATTGTTCAGGGTAGATGCCTGACATGTTTAGAGGATGATTGCAAAGATTAAGAAATTCATATTTGTAAAATGCGGAATTTTACGATACTTTTTTGATTTTGCACAGTGCAAAAATAAAAAATGTTCCTGCACAGTGCAGAATGCAAAATTTTTGCATTTTTCTCTGATATTGAGGTTGACAAGTCATCAATGTTTTATCACAGCCACTCTTGGTTTATTTGATGCAAGGACTTTTGAGATTTTTTGATTTTTTGACGCACTGTGCAAGAAAAAAAAGAATTTTCTTTGCACAGTGCAGAGGGAAAAAATTTTGATTTTTTTTATACACTGAAAATTTAGGTCATAGTAGATATTTCCCAACAATTTTCACTTTATTTTACCCAAAAATCACAACGAATTTCGCCCTTTTATCCATGCCGCTTCCAGATATCCTTGGCATTTGGCGATTTCCTCTGGGCCGTGATGATCGTGCCCCTCAGTTTCTACAGCTCCCTGACGCCCGATTGGGGCTTCATGGGCGACAATTCGGCGTTGTGCAAGTACTCGGCCTACCTGCAGATCATCATCATGACCTCCACGATGTACACGTTCGGCTGGATCTGTGTGGACCGCTATTCGGCCTTCATGAAGCCGTCCAAATACGAAAGCGAACAAACCCTGACCCGCTGCAAGTGTTGGATCACGTTGACGTGGGTGACGGCGATCTTGACCGCATGCCCCGTGATTGTCGCCAAAATGGAGGTGGGTTGAGGCGGAATGCCAAGATCAGGGGAAATTGGGGGGTAATTGGAAAAGTAGGCGGTGGAAATCGCTGATTTTTAGAATTTAAAATCTAAATATAGTATCCTCTGTGATCGCTCAGAACCGATTTTGGAATAAGCCCCTGAGGGTACAGAAATTCGATTTTTTTTAGAGCTGTCGTCAAAATTACAACATTGGAGAAAATTCGATGTAACTAGAAATTCCTTTGATAACACCATCTGGTTTTTAGAACATACAATGCCTATAGCATCCTATCTCAACTCTAGAAAGCGTTTTTAAAATTAATGCCTAAGGGTACGATAAAAAGCAAAATTTTCATAAGCCTCAAAAAACTTTGCAAAATAAATTTTACGCATATAAAATCAAACAAAATATGAAGAATCGTATGTTTAAAAGGCATTAAATTCTACAAGCAGTCAGTTTGACATGTCTTCGTTCAATTTTTCGCCGATTTTTTGAACGAAAATTGAGATTTTTAGATTTTTTTAGCAATTTTTACCAATTTTCTGACATTTTGCCTGACAAAAACATAAACTTTTGCTCAACTGAGCTCTCATTCTTTCCCAAAATCACTTTTCTACGGCCTCAGCTTCGTATTTCCCCCGATACCACACTGATCTCCCCCATTTTCAGGCCAATTACTACCACGAGTTCGAGTTCTGCGTGCTGAACTGGTCGTCGGCGGCGGCGTACAGCATCACGCTGCTGGTGTTGGTGTTGGTCCCATCCGTGGGGACTATTCTCTTCACCGCCTGCTCCATTTTCTCGGCCATGAAAAGGCCGGAAGAGGTAGGTGTGCATCGGACCGTGCCCGCCGGCGCTATTAATAAAAGAAGACTACGACCGGGCCGGAAATCAATCGGGTTTTTTTTTGCGAAAATTCTATTTGATGCGACAAGTGGCATCATCAAGGAAGAAAAAAAAGTTATTACTGTAACTTTTTTGGGCAAATCCGAAATATTCTTTGCTTTTATGGACAAAAACGTCAAATTTTATAGATTTTTTACGTTTTTGTCCATAAAAGCGCTAAATGAGTAAATTTAAGATTCTATAGTGAAAGAGCCCTCATTAGAAATTCTTACAGCACCTTTTCCAGTCCAAATTTTATGAATTATCAGCATTTATGGACAAAAACGTCAAATTTTATAGATTTTTTACGTTTTTGTCCATAAAAGCGCTAAATGAGTAAATTTCCTGTGCTATAGTGAAAGAGCCCTCATTACAAATTCATGCAGCACTTTACCAGCCCAAATTTTACGAATTATCAGCATTTATGGACAAAAACGTCAAATTTTATGCACTCTTTACGTTTTTGTCCATAAAAGCGATAAAATAAGTAAATTTAAGATCCTATTATAAAGAAGGCCTTATTAAAAATGCTTACAACACTTTTTCCAGTCCAAATTTTATGAATTATCAGCATTTATGGACAAAAACGTCAAATTTTATGCATTTTTTACGTCTTTTGTCCCTAAATTTGGCAATTTTGGCAAAAGTAGGCCTAAAATTTTGTGACAGGCTATGGACTACCATTTGGTAAATTGCTGAAGCAAAAAATTGAGATTTTCAAATATTATGGACAAAAACGTTAAATTTTATGTATTTTTTACGTTTTCTTGTCGCTAAACTGTATAATTTCAGTCAAATCTGACCTTCATGTCTAAGGAGAGACTATTTTATCTCATTTAGGAACACTTCTGGATAGAAAATTTCAAATTTTTCGAACTTTATGGACAAAAAACGTTAAATTTTATGCGTTTTTTACGTTTTTGACCGTAAACATTTGGAACTCCTCCGGTTCTTGTTGCTATAAGCCCTAAATTAATTTTAAATTTTAATGACCCCATTTACAGCTAGAAGATACTCAACGAACAGCACTGGAGACGGACCAAAACTTCGTGGTGACCTTATTCGTGGTCATCTCGTTTTGCCTGGCCTGGTTCCCCATCGTTGCCGTGCATTTTGTCCCCGAATCCCTCTTACATCCCGCAGATACGGCTACCATCAAATTTGCGCTCATTTGGCTGGCGATTGGCGGGCAGAGTAGCAAATGGTTGATCTACATGTTCACGAACCGCGAGTTCCGCAAACATTTCTGCATTCCGTGCCTCGGCAAAGACATTGACGACCTGACCGACTCCGAGATCGAAGAGGGTCCCAGCTGCTTCCGGAAGCTGTTCTGCGCGCCCTGCTACCTGCTGACCAAGCCGCGTCCGGCCGCAGCCGCCACGCCGCACTCCGCCATGATCCCGCAGCCGGTGCAGCGCGTGTCGGCGGCGCAAATGGCGCGCACCGCCTCCCTCACGCCGCAAATGCATCAGAGCTACAGCTACTACAACAACAGCAACGGCGCCAGCCCCGCCATGGCCATCACCGCCAAGCGGCTGCCGGAATACGGTAGCTTTGCCCAAATTCCTGCCGGCTTTTGAGAAACCCTTCGCCGAAGAGGAGGTCGCGAAGATAGGTTCGTATATCATACATCAATGTGAAACCCGTGCCCTACTTTATCAGACTGTGTATAAATATTTATGCTTTGTTTCGAGTTTAGCGAGTATTTGAATATTTTCTTTGACACACCCGGATTTGATTACAAATTAAAAGTTTCGCAAAATTTGCAAGTATTCGATAGCGTGCGAATGTAAAAATCGAAGAAAAAATTAGAGGCTCCGTATTTTACCATGTAGTTGCCCAATTAGTCAAAAAAACTTTGTAAAATCATAATTTTTTACCAATATATTATACATGACCATCTGATCTTAAATCAATTTGAGCTCATGAATTAAACAAAAATACTGACGAGATGCCGTATTTTAAACAAAGAGTAAGATCTGAGTTTTTATTCGATTACAAAACATTTTATACGATGAAATGTGTCCTGAAACTTTGAGCTCGAAATATCCCGTTTTTAGTTGAAGAATCGGATTAATGTCTCCAAATTTATATCCCACTTATCACGAAACTTACTGCCACTGCTAATACGTATAATCTGTATACATATTTTGCTCAAAACTTAATCCTTTTTTGTTAATCATTCGAATTTTCATCGTATTCCGCTAAGAATCGCAATTTTTGTTCTAAAAACTCAAAAAATACACTGAATAAATTTCGACCACATCACAGCAAGATCGTTTTAACATTAGCAATCGTTTTTGGCTATAAAGGTGACATTTTATACGATGAAACATGTGCGAAACGAAAAATTTCTTCAGACATGTTTGAGCGTATAAAATGTCGAAAAGTTGCAAATTTGTCATGACCAAAATTTGTAATTCGAATCTGGGACTCTTTACAATTTATTTTTGAGTTTTTCACCGATTTTTTTTGGTGCATTTTTCTCTGTTATATCGCTTGATCAACAATTGTAATATATTTATAAATTCGACTCGAATATTGGTATTGGATAAACAAAAAATATGGCATAATTACTAGTAAATTGTTAAATTTTGCTTTGAAATTGATTTGGGGCCAAAATTTTGGCACTGCACTGTGCAGAATCCCATTTTTTGACTGCACAGTGCGGTGACAAAAAATTTTTTTTGAAATGTCATCGCATTTGACCGGTAAAATGTGTCTAGTCAGCATTCTACTGCCTTGTCTCTGTGTTTGAAGAACTTTTAACCAAAACAAACACGACTTTTGATCGTCGAGACCTTATTTTATCCGTAAATCACATGAAACCAACCCAAAAAATCGAAACAAAACTAAAAATAAAAATAGTGGAAGGTGTTATTGAACTCTGTTTATTATGTGAAATACCTGAAAATCAAAAACAACCTTTTTACCAGCGAAAATAATTTCGTTTTCCACTAAAAGGCCTAGTGTAATATAATTTTTGGTCCGTTTTTGCTGAAAACAAATGTAAAGATTCTTTGGAGATACTGTAAGTGACTGTAAAATAATTTTCATGGGGTTTAAATTAGATTTTTAATCGAATTTCACCCCGATATTCCAATTTTCCCGACATTTCTAGGCAAAATTTGCTATTTCTCAAGAAATTTCGGCCAAGAAATCCATTATTTCGAGAAATTTCAGCAAAACAAACATGTTTACTAGTTGCAGGATTTCAAAAATGTAACAAAATAAGTCCTAAAAGTAGAGGCGGGCCGGCGCACAACGAGAACCTCACTCGCCGTTCGAGAGAACGCGAAAAGAAGAGAGAGGTTAGAGAAACGCTCCGAGAGAGGTCGGGCGGGAGGAAAAATGAGAGAACACAAAAGAAGGGAGGGCGTTAGAGAAACTTTTCGAGAGAGGGCGGGTCAGAGAAACAACGAGAGAGTACGAAAAAAACAAGAGGGTGGTTACGGAGTCCGCGAAAACACCGTTTCTCACCAAGAGAGCGACTCGAGAAACATGGCGAAAGAGTGCGCAAACAGTGGAGAGTGCAGAGAGTTGTTTATCGAAATTTCAGGAAATTCCGCGGAAAAGCACGGGAATCGGGGTTGGTCGACATTCAAAGATCTCTTGGTCAGTATAAGTTCTCCTATTAGTATTTAAAACCGAAACTTTCACCTTTTTCCGACTTTTTTCGAAATTCGAAAGCCTTGGCAACTTCTGGAAGTTTCCATAAGGATTTCCCTCTCCCTCCACGCAGAACGGCCGGAATTTACGCAGCTGATTCCCACCGCAGATTAACATACTCGCCCGGAATTGGAGTGAGGTCGGTTTTCGGAAAATTTCGCGACGTTTTGAGTCGCTGTTTTCACTAATTTTAAAAAATTTCAAAATTTTTTCACTTCAAAAATAAATTTTTTTTTTCAGTGGAAATTACCGTACATTTTCTTCATGAACAGGCTGTCCAAACTTCTTCCGAGTCGAAGTTTTGTCAAGCAAATTCTCGGTGCTGGTAAGTCATTGCACAGTGCAGAAATTTCTGATTTTTGTTTGCACAGTGCGGTCGATTTTTGGTTTTCGCACGGTGCCAAAAAATTTTTTTTGAAATTTTTAAGTGTCAGAAAAAAATTTTCAAAATGAATGATTGTGTTTTTAGGTGCCTTGGCTTCGACTAGCTCCTGTTTGAGTCAAACTTTCATCGAGAAAAACGATGAGATCGATTATCAACGGGTTTTGAACTTCGGACTGGTCACTATGGCCATTGTGGTAAGTTTTTTCCGAAATTTATTGTTGAATAAAACTTGTTTTTGCTTTCTAGACCATTTCGAAGTATTTCCAAAATTAAAATTTTCAAAATTTGCATAATTTTTGCAAATTTGCATAATTAAAAAAACTTGCATAATTTTAAAAATTATTGCTAGTTAAGACTTTATTTTGCTTACTAGACCATTTCCAAGCGTTTTCAAAAATTCCATAGTTTTTCAAAATTTGCATAATTAAAAAATTTGCATAATTACAAAAATTTCTCATAAATTAGCAAAAAACTGTCTAAATTACTCTTCCAGGGTCCCATCCAGTTCCACTGGTTCCGTTTTCTCTCCCGTTTCATCGAAGGCACCAGCTTTAAAACCGGTTTCAAGCGAATGGTCGTCGACCAACTGATCGCCGCTCCCCTCCTCACTTCACTTTTCCTTTTCAACATCCAGCTCCTCGAGTCCAAGTCCATCGACACCTCCATCAACCGAACCCGCAACGTGTTGGGGGCGGTTATGACCAACAATTACAAGCTATGGCCAATGGTGCAGTTGATCAACATGTCGGTGGTCCCGCTCGAATATCGGATCATTTTTCTTCAGTTCGTTGGGTTGTTTTGGAATTGTTACATCTCTTATATGACAAAGAAATAAATTATTGGCAAATTTACTTTGGATTTTGATCGAAAAGCGAACTTTTTCCTCGAGAAATACAGTTTGATAGATAAAACTCGTTGATAGACCAAAATTAGGCCGCTGATTTTTACATATTCTGAATCAGAAAAATTTTGCGATTTTTTTGATACATCCCTCGACCAGTAACTCCATTCCCCATAGACGTACTTTCCTTGTAAGCAAAAATAAAAACAATTGCAATTTGTATTTCCCGCGCATTTGGCAAAATTGAAACGAAATGCCAAAGAAGGTAAAATTTCTCAAAATTCCCGGGAATTTAGCTAAACGTCTCACAGGAGGCCAATGTCTGGAGGAAGAACAATATTTTATCGCGAGAAAAACGTGAAAATCTCGAGAATTTCAAACGACTCCGGTCCACCTTGATGGATAAGATAATATCTGCTCGTTTCTCTGCGAAAATGTCGAGTTTTGGTCTTGAGTTTGATGCGAGCCGAAATGTATCTTGTGACTACATAGTTTTTATTTTGTTTCGAGTGGTTTTGTTTGAGTTTCGAGAATTGTTTTTCGAAGTTTGATAATCTTATTCATGGATAATATTTTGATGGTTTTTTAGAGGGGAACTCTCTTGTTTTTAGCTAAAACAATTTTATATAGCAAGAGAATTATATAGAGAAGTCTTTTAGCATCTTTTACATTGATTTTACTTGTTGTTTTTAAAGTTTTTATCAATTTTCGTCATGTGTATTATAATTGATAATAAAATTTTTATTTTTTTGAAAATCTAGTGTAAAATACGGTGATGTAGTCTTGGACTGTCTTTATGTCTCTATTTTAGCTATTTGAAACGCGTTGCGTTCAATTTAGCTTATATTTTTGCCATAAATAATATCAGATATTACTTTAGGTGATGGGTGCCAAAAACCAGAACCAACGGGACTTAAAAGTCCAAGCGGTCAATGAGATAGTTGCCAAGCTCATTGAAGCTCAAAATGCCGGGCAGTCGGTCAACTTGAACAAACTGAAATGCGACGTTTCCTCAAGATTAGGAATGGACCATCAGCCAAAGTTGGTGGAGATAATTGCGGCCGTCCCCGAAGACTACAAAGACCTTTTGTTGCCCAAATTGAAAGCTAAACCGGTACGAACGGCGTCTGGGATTGCTGTGGTGGCGGTTATGTGCAAGCCGCATCGTTGTCCGCACATTAATTTCACCGGGAATATCTGCGTCTATTGTCCTGGAGGGCCGGATTCGGATTTCGAATACTCAACGCAAAGTTACACTGGATACGAACCGACATCTATGAGAGCGATCCGAGCCCGATATAACCCATATATCCAGACAGTAAACCGATTGGCTCAACTCAAACAACTTGGCCATAACATAGATAAGGTAAGGTAATTTCTGAAATTATTGTTTCCGCTTTTAGGTTGAATTCATCATAATGGGTGGAACATTTATGTCCCTGCCCAAGGACTATCGTGACAATTTTATTTCCAACCTTCATGATGCGTTGAGTGGACATATCAGCTCTTCCGTTGCGGAGGCCGTCAAGTTTAGCGAAGTCAGCGATACGAAATGTATTGGAATCACGATAGAGACTCGTCCCGACTACTGTCTACCTCGGCATATGGACGATATGCTGGCGTATGGCTGTACTCGACTGGAAATTGGAGTTCAGTCAGTTTACGAAGATGTGGCCAGAGATACGAATCGGGGACATACGGTGAGGATTGGGGGTGAAATGCGAAAACAAGGATTTATCTAAAATTTAAGAGGTCTTTTGCAGCTAATGAAGGATGTTTGAGATAATTTTTGAGAAAAAAATTGGAATTCAGGATGTTACACTAGACAAAATTTTCAAAAATTTTAAGTTTTTTGATCAAAAAACCTTTTTCAGAGTAGTGAATGTATATCTACTTTGTTAGAAATGTTTTTTAGAGTCTAATTGATCTATTTTCAGGTGAAAGCGGTCTGCGAGACCTTCCACATGGCCAAAGATACCGGCTACAAAGTGGTCATCCATATGATGCCCAACCTCCCCAATGTGCCCATCGAACGTGATCTGGCGCAATTCGTGGACCTTTTTGAAGACCCGGACTTCCGACCCGACGGCCTAAAGCTCTACCCAACTTTGGTGATTCGATCCACAGGCCTCTACGAGCTTTGGAGAACCGGCCGTTACAAATCCTATCCCCCTCAAGTCCTGGTGGATCTGGTCGCCCAAATCTTGGCTCTAGTGCCCCCGTGGACTCGTGTTTATCGAGTGCAAAGGGATATCCCGATGCCTCTGGTGTCGTCGGGCGTGGAATACGGCAATTTAAGGGAGCACGCCCTCGCCCGAATGGAACAATTGGGCCTGAAATGCAGGGATGTGCGAACAAGAGAGGTCGGAATCACCGAAATCCATCAAAAAATCCGACCGGATCAAGTGGAACTCGTGAGACGAGACTACTACGCTAATAATGGATGGGAAACCTTCTTGACGTATGAAGATGCCGAACAGGTATGAGCTGTTTTTATATTGTACTTGGCTTTTAGGTGAAGAGTCGGAAAGATTTGGAAATTTTGAAGGATTTTTGGAAAAAATTGAAGGGGAAATGGATGGTATAAGAAAGTGTATGGAATTTTATAGTTGATTATGGAGATTGGAGAGGTCTATATTGCTTTAGACATCAGAAAATTTAATTTTTTTTTGGAAAAATGGAGAATTTTGAAATTTTTTTGGATTTTGGTGGTTTTTTGATGTTTTGACGAATTTAAAAGGACCTGAACGATTTTATTTGATAGTTTGAAGGGTGTGGGAGAGTTCTACATCAAGTGTAACGTAATTTTTTTTTTCAAAAAATTAAGATTTTTTAGGAAAAGTTTGAAGAATTTTGGGTAATTTCTATAAATTTTGGTTGATTTCCATATGGATTTTCAATTTTTCGACCTCCAAATGATGCCATTCAGCATCTACCATCCTGACTTTCTATTCAAGAACCCTAAATTCTCCTTCAACTTTTAATTTCTCTAATTTTCAGGACATTCTAATCGGCTTGCTTCGCCTCCGAAAATGCACAGACAAGGTCCATCGAGAGGAATTGAAGGTGGGGATATATTTTTGTTTTGAGATTTTAAGACTTTTTGACTAGAATGTACAAATTTTTTGATGATTTTGTCACTTTGAGTTATTAGCTTCAAAAAAAATTTCGAATTTTAAACCGGGATTAGCCCCGAAATTCTTTGGCTTTGTACGGAATTGTAAAGAAAATCCATAGAAATTACTCTTGAATGGACGAAAAGTCCAGGATTATGCCAAAATTTCATCTTTTTTGTCAGTCTTTGTCATGGATAACATAAAAATTTTGGAAATATGAACGGCTTTTGCGATTTTGAGATGCATTTTTGGAAGGTTGTTCAGTAATGGCACAGAAAGTTTGAAAATTTTTTGTGAAATACGAAAAAATCGCAGAAAAATATTTTGAAAAAATTGGATTTGAATAAATTTTTTTTGGGTAGTCTAAAATAAAATGTCGAAGGACCAAACATAAGCCCCTTGACCAGAGATCTGTCGTCGAAACGACCCCACTGTCAGCGAAACGGATTCCCCTCCATTAGCGAGATTTCTTTCCAGTTATATGATATAGATTGGTGCGGGGGAAATCATCCGAATACAAGGAAATTTGTAGTCTAAAAATAGATGGGGTTACTGTAAGCTGAATGGGGAGGTTTTGTGGAAATGTTTGGGGAGTAAAAAAAAGTTTTATGGTCTCTTTTGGAGATGCTGCCCAAGTGTAATATAAAATTTTGAAATTTTTTGGATTACTGTTGTGAATTTGTGTTCAGATGGAAGAAAAAGTGTTATAGTAGTATGCTGGAAGCCTTTTTCACCGCGATTTTTTGGAGGAAATTTGAGATTTTTCGGAGGTTTTCCATATCAATCAAGTGTTATATAAAATTTCGTAAGAAGCTCATGTTTTTGTCAAAAATTTGTGGTGAGAAGGTGACGCGCGATTACTGTGGTCTATTTGAAGCCCTTTGGTTGCGATTTTTTTGTTAAAGTTTGAGATTTGTTCATCTCGATCAAGTACAGTGGCGGACCTGATCCAGTGGCAAAAAACGTATCATTTTACATCTAGGAAGTATCAAAAAATGTGGTGAAATAGCTCCTTCTCCTAGTGAAAAAACTTCGTTTTGAAGGGCGCCCTTTCCTTCACAAAAAGAGCGAGCGCACTTTTAAAATCGGAGTTTTTTCACTTGAAGAGGGAGGTATTTTGCTACATTTTTTGATACTTCCCGGATGCAAAATTATGCGTTTTTTGCCACTGGATTAGGTCCTCTACTGTAATTGATCGAGGAGAAAAAATCTCAAAACTCTAACAAAAAAATCGCAACCAAAGGGCTTCGAATAGGCCACAGTAATCTCTCGTCACCTTCTCACCACAAATTTATGACAAAAACATAAGCTTCTGACGAAATTTTATATTACATTTGACTGCGGTAGAAAAACTCCAAAAAATCTTAAATTTCCCTCGAAAAAATCGCGGTAAAAAAGCTTCCAGCAAACTATTATAACACCTTTTTTTCATCTGAACACAAATTCAAAACAGCAACTCAATCGCTCGTCACTTTTTTACCAAATTTTTGACAAAAACACTGTATAATATAAAATTTCCACAGATCTCCGCTAATTTCCAAAAATTTCAGGGCGCAACCTCGGTGGTCCGCGAACTGCACGTCTACGGCACCTCGGTGCCGGTCGCCTCCCGCGATCCCACCAAATTCCAACACCAGGGCTACGGCAGCCTGCTGATGGAAGAGGCCGAACGAATCGCCCGCGAAGAACATTTGTCCACGAAAATAGCCGTCATTTCCGGAGTGGGCACCAGACACTACTACCGGTAAGCGCAAATTGCAAAATCCCTCGTAAGCAGCATGAAATCGGGGGGAGCTCGGGGACTTGCTAATGCCCATGGATAAGATGCCGGTTTATGGGGAGTGGATGCATTTTAGAGCGGGCAGATTGGTGGTAGAATATTTAGCAAGGCTTCAAGGAGGAAATGGAATGAATTTACGGGAAAAATAGGCGTCTTATCGATAGTTATGAATAATTTTTGGATTTAGTAGCTATGAATAATATCGGAAGAAATTAAGCTTGAAAATAAGCGTTTTTGCTTTGCATTCTGATATCGTAGAGGTAAAAATATATCTATATTTTAATTTGAACATCAAAATGGTACAGAAAAATTATTATTTTTTGAGAATCGAGCCTTTTTGACCTTATTTTAGGCAAAATTCCCACAGTTTTGCCATTTTTTGTCCGAAAAAAGACATGGATTATGGCGTCCGCTCGATTACATTGCCTATTATCCTGCCTGGAGCCGGGCAGACCGCTTTTAATTCCTCGGAAAGTCTCTAAACCTCACGAAAAACGAAGAAAATTAGTTTTTGCGCTATTTCAGGAAACTCGGCTACGAATTGGACGGTCCATACATGAGCAAGCACCTGGTTTAAAGTTGAACCCGCATTTACAGAAATTTTCAACTTGAATTCGACTCAATTGAGCCCATTTTTCGAGAGTTTTGTATTATTTTTGCCCGGTTTTATATTGTTTTAGACGGTTTTGATGGAAAACCCCGGGTTCGGTCTTATTTTCTGGAGTCTTTTACAATTGTTGACTGTTAGAATTGTCGTACATGGCTTTGAGAGAAATATGGCGGCCGAAGAGGATGGTTTATGCCATTTCTCGGGCCTTTTTGTAGGAGAATACTAAGTTTTGTCGGATTTCGAAGAAAAAGTTTAAATACAAAGGGAAGTTGAAGTGTTTTTTGAGAGATTGTGTTATTTAATGGGGGTTGAGAACTTAGATACGACTTTTTAGCACGATTTTTCGGTAGAAAACGGGATTGTTTCAAAGTTTTTACCTTGTTTTAGGTGTTTTTTGATGTTTTTAGGCTTGAAATGGCTTTTAGACTGAAATTTTGGATGTATAAAGAAGATTTGAGGAAATTGTAATAAAGTTTTTATCATATTTAATTTGAAAAACTAAAAATTTTTTCGTATTTTTATTAAAAAGAACGATTTTTTGGCAAAATTTTCGATTATTGCCTCGAAAATGGGGCTCGCTGTAATACGAACAAATTTCCTCTCGAACGTGCCATTTTGCGGACTTTTTGGACCCTCGTGGTCTCTAAATATTATTCGGCGAGAAGTTTTTTATCTGTTTTTTGTTCACTTTCCCGCTCTTTTACCCAAAAACCCGGGAGAAAAATGGCGGAAAAGCCCGAGAAATTTTTCTTTTGATCGATCAAAAATTGCGCCTCAAGCTCGAAAATAGTTTCTATTTTGGTTGTTAAATTAATTTTTGAACAATTTGTTGTCTTTTATCGTGTTTTTCTGTTTTCCTTGTTGATTTATATATATTTTTCGCGATTTCTTGCAATGTTTTCAACTTCTCGCGAGAAAACCGAGTTGTTTTGTTGATAATAAAGAGAAAAAGAACTCATTGGATGCTCTCTGATGCTTTGTCGTTCCATTCGACCAACCGAAAGGTGTTATTTTCACTTTATTTTTACAATTTTTCAATTTGAAATTTTTTTTTATTTCGAAATTTTTCGATTTTTTTGTTTTTTTTTGCCAGTAAGGATGTCTGATTAGACAATTCGGGCCTAATTTTACCCATTTAGAGCGTTTATAGTAATTTTTTGGACATTATTTTAGATTCTTACCTTTTTTTAAACAAAAGATTTGAGTTTTATGAATTTTTTAAAAGTTCTTGGCGATTTTTAATGTTGTTGCTGTAAAATAGGATGTTTGATTTTTTGTTGACGTGTAAGATGGAACTTTACACTGATTGTCTTGTAAGAGAAACAAAAATTTTGACGTTTTTCAAGATTTTTTTGATTATTTTGAGAATAATAGGGGTAATTTGATAAATAGAAGCCTTAGTGTCTCAAGAATGAAACGAGTTTTATGGAAAAATAGCTCTCTTTGATATGAATAATATCCGAAGAAGCCAGAAAATGCTGCAAATTTTGAATAAAGGTCCCTAAAACAATGTTTTGAATGGTTTTCTGAGAAGAATAGGTATACAAATACGAATCGGCGGATTTAACCGCCGGATTCCTATTTTTCTTGATGCAGATATGCCTAATGACAGTAGCGCTCACATATCAGCGGCAGATTATAATACAGTATTGGAGACGGCTTTATTTAGCTGATTATATCTAGTGTAATATAATCTTACAGTGGCGGACCTGAAACAGTGTGAAAAACATACCATTTTGCATCCGGGAAGTATCAAAAATGCAGCAGAATACCTCCTTCTCCAAGTGAAAAGACTCCGATTTCAAAAGTGTCCCATTCAAAACGGAGTTTTTTCATTTGGAAAGGGAGGTATTTTGCTGCATTTTTGATACTTCCCGAGCGCAAAATCGTACGTTTTTTGTCACTAGATCAGGTCCGCCACTGTAAGATTATATTACACTAGATATAATCAGCTTTACGAACCCTTCTCCAACACTGTATTATAAGCTGCTGCTGATATGTGGCCGCCACTGTCATTAACTGCTTAGAATTGACGTCTTTTTGCATTTCATCGATACCGTAGAATCCCCAAATCCGAATAATTTTCACGTGATTCGCGGTTTTTGTTGTCCCCAAGATAATCTTCTGATGTTTCGGCCCTATTTTGGGTGGGGTTTGTCTGTTTTTTACAGTGATAAGGCTTATGGAGCTTTGGGGTTGTTTACTTGACAAGATCTTGTTGTCCTGCCCTCCTTCGGCGTTTGTTTTTTTACGAAATTTGGTGTTTAATCATCGCAAAGTCCATTCGTTCGACCTCCCGACCGTTTTCCGATCGCTACAATATAAAAGGATGGCAAATTTTCGGAGTTGGCTTTGTTTTTGATGGCTTCGGAAAACGAGTTTTTTCCGCACTGTGCGAAGACGTTTTTCTTCTTTGCACAGTGCAGTAACAATACGGATTTCGCACGGTGTGGAAAAAGGTTTTTACTTTTCCGCACTGTGCAGTCAACTTTTTAGTATGCTTGAGTTTTGCACAGTGCAATCGGCCTTTCTCTCGCACTGTGCGATAAAGAAGACGTTCATTTTTTGATTTTGCACAGTGAAATTGACCATTTTTACTTTTGCACTGTGCAGTCAAGTTTTCGATTTCCGCACTGTGCAATGGAAATAAGGGGTATAGATAACCTGAAGTATACTGTAGTTTTTTTTGTTATCAGTCTGTCGGGAAAAAAACGGCGGATCGTCGCGCCTCGGAGTCGCTCATCATCGCTCTGCGACTGCAAGCCGCGTCTTGGGATTTGGTGCGCGACAGCGGCGAGGCGAGATATTTTGCTGCGACGATCCGCCGTTATTTTCCCGACAGACTGATATTCCGAATGGCTCAAAGATTAGTCTTACAAAATTTTAGACTTAAATTTGGGTGTTTTTCATATTGATTTTTTTGCTGATTTTTTACGCTTTATACAGTGGCGGACCTGATCAATTATTATTGAAGGGTTCGCTTTACGAAAAATTGGACTGTTAAACATTCCACAAGAACTTTGAAAAAATCTGCCTACAGTGGCGGACCTCATCCACTGGCAAAAAACGTACCATTTTGCATCCGGGAAGTACCGAAAATGGGGCAAAGTACCTCCCTCTCCAAGTGAAAATACTCCGATTTCAAAAGCGCGCCCTTCATAATGGAGTTTTTTTGGTTGGAGAGGGAGGTATTTTGCTGCGTTTTTGATACTTCCGGATAAAAATTGGTACGTTTTTTGCCAGTGAATCAGGTCCGCCACTGTAGGTAGGTTTTTTTAAAATGTCTTGTGGAATGTTTAACAGTCCCAGTTTTCGTAAAGCGAACCCTTCAATAATAGTTTTCGTAATGTTTTACGAATACTCTGTGACATGTACAATATAATTTGCAAAGGTGGTGAGAAAGGCTTTAATTTCCAAAAAGCTAGTACAACCCATACTTGTCACGCAGCTTGTTCGAAACTACACATGTTTAAACGTTGTGTTTTAATGTCTTGTACCATTTAACATTAAATTTTTATTCTGAGTCCTCTTTAATATTATATTATATTACCCATGCGAAAATTGGTCTCTTTGATACCGCAAAACGTGTCTGGCTACCATAAATTTGGTTATCAGTTGTCATAAAGCGCAAAAATGTTGTGTTTGCGTCAACAACACAAGGTATACAAAACAAGAAGGGCGCGTGACGTCAAATTGTGCCTTTTCCACCCGACTTTAGCTTACCAAAGCCGAAAATCAAGTGCAAGACGAAAAACAATGCCCGAAGACTGACTAATGTGGGCTTTGATTTACTTTTCTAAAGGTTTAATTATTGTTAACACCTGGGCTTTCGCTTTTCCTCCCGAACTTTTATGTTATCCATGACGTTTTTTTCGAAAATGTTGGACTTTCTGGGATTAATTTACGCATAAGTTATAGGACGAGGCGATTAACAGGATATAGCGTCTTCATTTTTGGTCTTCCAGGAATGACGAATTTAGTAGCAAAAATTCGGAATTTCGTGTGAGATATTGATTGTGAATTGGACTTTTGGAGCGAAACTTTTGATAAAATGGTGTGATAATTTGATTAATTGGAACGTCTGGCCCGGAAATTAATATGTAGGGGTCAAGAAAAGGCGTTTTGGCACTTTTATGACTTTTGATCAAATTTTGCCTAAAAATGGTTGTTTTAGACTGTTTTTTAAAGAAGTAAGCGGTTTAATGCCAACGGAAATTCGTATGCCACCTTACACAATGTTTTACAATCTTATTAGACAAAACGTAATCGACAATATTCATTTTTTTCTGAGTGATGTGATGTACAATATAAAAAATGTCGAAAATGCGGCTCGGAAGATGCAGATCACTTCAATGGAGATTTGAGGAGGGCATTTGGACGATTAATAATGATTATGGTCTTCAAAAGGTACGCGGAAGTATCGAAAATTTGTGTTCAACGGGTTGAATGCGGGGTTGGTCTGTTTCAAAACATTCTGAACATCACCCCAGGGGCCAATGCGCTAACTGAAACTTGGGTGAAAGTTGGCTGAAATGGTAGGGCGCAGCTCGGAAAACTTGCACGGAGGCAGCTTGCGTCTTAAGCGCAGCTCGAAGACAAGCTGAAACTTAGCTCCGGCGAATTGCCAAAGGTTGTTTTCCGAGCTGCCCCCGAGACGAGAGCTGGGCCCGTGCAAGATTTCCGAGCTGCGCCCTACCATTCTCAGCCAACTTTCAGCCAGGTTTCAGTTAGCGCATTGGCCCCTGGGGTGATGTTCAGAATGTTTTGAAACAGACCAACCCCGGATTCGATCCACTGAACCCAAATTTTCGACACTTCCGCGTACCTTTTGAACCCCTATAATCATTATTAATCGACCAAATGTCCTCCTCAAATCTGTGTTTATTTTGGCTCCACAAGGACTTCCTCCTCGATTGTCCTTGTCATTGCGAGCGCCACGCACACGTACGTGTCTGGCGGCTTACACTTTTATTCAGAGAACCAGCGCGGGGCCGGCTGGAGAATGTTTCCGAGGGTCCAACGAGACTCGCGGGGCGTACTTTTAACCGGGGAACCGACGTTTCCTACTTTCAAATATTATTATTTCCCGCCAAATTCGAATTCACTATGTGGCCGAAAGACACGAAAGACAGTGGCTTTCGGGGCCACGGTGAGTGGTTTCAAACCAATTTCTGTATTATACTAAACATTTCTTGTAGTCTTATAAAAAAGATATCAATCCGTACGTATTTGAGGGACGAAAGGGATGTGGGGAAAACGTATTAGACGAGTGGTTTTCCTGGAATAAGTTTTACGCATTCAGCGAGCTTGTTTTAAATTCTCTGGCACTTGCACTTTCCACATTTATTAGTCAAAAATAACCCTAATTGGCCTCGAAATGAGATGTCTTTTAAGACATCTCATTCGAGGCATTTAAAAAGCAAAAGGCCATAGAACTGAAGCAGTTTCTGGGTTGAACTGTTAATTATAGCATTCATGGAGACTGGAACGCCTCTGGCGAATAGACCTTTTATTTTGTTTTTTTAAAATGATGACCTTTTATTCGGATGACCGATTCCTTCATTTCAATTATGAGGTTGTAAACAAATAGAAATTTTTCGGTGATTTACTGCTTATAAAGGCTTGTAAAAATTTTAAAATTTAATTTTGTCTTTCATGTAATACAATGGCGGATCTTATCCAGCGGCAAAAAACGTACCATTTTGCATCCAGGAAGTATCAAAAAATGTAGCAAAATACCTCCCTCTCCAAGTGAAAAAACTCCGGTTTGAAGAGCGCCCTTTTCCTCACAAAAGGAGCGGACGTGCTTTTGAAATCGGAGTGTTTTCACTTGGAGAGGGAGGTATTTTGCTACGTTTTTGATACTTCCCGGACACATAATGGTACGTTTTTTGCCACAGGATCAGGTCGGCCACTGTAGGTACAGTTGATAACAAGGAGATTTCGGAGAACTTCCTTGGTCTCGAAAGATCATGAGCGGTCATCTTGGGAGTCAAATGGGCCCTGGAGATATTTTGAAGCAAGATTTTGTTTTTTTTTTATTTTTTATTTCCAGTTTAGAAATGCCAATAATTTTTGTGACATTTCGTTACATTTTACGAAACCTTACGGAATTTAAAATCAGTTTGTTTGTAAATTATTGGTAAGGCTGTGATGTCTAATCTCTGAACAGACGAAAACTTTAAATAAACTTTATTAAGTCTTGTTGTAACCTTCACCCCATTATTTTCGCCCAAAATTAATTATTATGTAAGCTTTGAAAAGTGGGAATTTGAAGGACCAACAGGTGCTAAACCCCATTTGGCAAATTGACAGTGTTTTTGGCTCGAAAAGTGTATGCGGATTTCGGCAAATCCGGTGTCATATTATACTTGATAAAAAAAGGTCTAGTGGATTCAAACTTCAATATTTTTAATTGAAATTCGAAGGTTCTTGTGTTTTGTAGGCTCAGAGATCTGTTTGTAGTGATAATATAAGCGTAACAATTTTTTTGGGGAGTTGTTTGATTTATTTTTTAAGATTTCTACTTTTTTGTCAAAAAAATGGTGAAAAATGATTGATTTTGAAAATTTGATGATTTTTTTTTATAAAAGAGAAGAGGCTAAGGTAATTATTAAATTCTGAGTATTGCTGACATAAAATTTATAAAGGATTTGGAGAATTTTTCACTTTTTTTAACCATTTTCCTTATTTTTGTCTAAAATAATATTATTTTTGGCGATTTTCAATTTTCGAAGTGATATTTCTCTCAAAAAATTGTATACATAGTCTTTTAGCTCATTTGTTAACTAATTAATTGCCAGCTAGTTTCAATAGAACCATAAAAATAATATTTTCGCATTATTTTTTTGCCTCTAAACCTTTAAAAATTGCTTATTTTTCCATTTTTCAGGTCTTTTTTCTGATCTAAAAGTACATGTGTTTGCGTACCGTTTGTGCACCCAACATTCCTTATCTTTCTCCAATTGTCACTAGAACCCCCAACAGAAAAACGTGCATTCCATCAGGTTTCGCGCGATGCGTTTCAGCTGCATTTTGTGCCCGGGTTTTTTCGCAAAAAAAATTTCGAAAATCAATGATTTTTTTTAGGAGATTCGTAAAATATGGCTTTAATAGTAACTGTGGGGGTATATTATGGAGGCTGGCGGCAATTTTTTGATAAAATTTCATATAAATTTGTGGTTTTGATATTGTTTTAGGTAAAATTTTTGAAAATTTTTCAAAAATCTTGGTTGTTTTTGTAAAATACGCGGTGCTGACGGTTTGCAGAGTTCATTTTTGGTCGTTTACTGATAAAAATTTGAGAAAATTTTGCTCTAAATTTATGATTTTACCTTATTTTAGGCAAAAATTTGATGATTTTTAAGAATTTTTACGATTTTTGTTGAAAATCTTGAATTATCTTGTAAAATACGACATTAGTTTTACAGTGTGTTTAATTTTACAACGTTTGTGGCGTAGTATTCAATTCTTTTTGCCTAAAAGTTGAAATTTTTATATTGTTTTAGGCCAACTTTTGCGATTTTTTGCGATTTTTTATATTTTCATTTGATATTTTCCTTTCAAAAACACTTTTTTTGACTAAATACTGTCTATTTCAGTCTCTTGCATGATGCAGTAGAGAATGCACGACACCACGACCACTGCCGGTATGCTCTCCAATGACATTTACCAATATCAACAAGCCGAAACGTCCGCCGAAACGCGAAGCAAATCCAACGTCTCGTACGACTGCTCCCACGTCCTCGACAACAACTCGCTGAGCGCCCTGCACCACGATGACGACGAGGATCAGGTCCATCGGACTGCGAATCAAGTGGCGGCCTCGTTTTCGAAGCAAAAATTGAAGCAAGAAGCCCTGAAAAAGTTCGTTCCCGGCGAAGCCTGTGTGGTTTGTGGAGATGCCGCCTCCGGCATACATTATTCAGGTAAATTTTTCTCTTTTTTTCTTCGAATTTTAGGTGAAACATGGAAAACCCCAAAAATTCGTCGATTTTTTAGGTAAAAATTAGATTTTTGGATGTTGATTGCGACTAAAGCGCTGTAAATTTTAGTCTCAAGCTGTAACGGGTGTAAAACCTTCTTCCGGCGGGTCCTAATCGAGAATCGCACCTATTCCTGCAAGGGCGATGGGAATTGTCCCATCGATAAGGACATGAGATGCTCCTGTCGCCATTGTCGCTTCAAAAAATGCCTTCAAGTGGGAATGGATGGAACTGGTAAGAAGCTTGTGGTATTATACAGGGATTTGGATATGAAATTGGTCGGAATAATTGGTGTTTTTTACTTTTTTTAAAAAAAGTTTTGGATTTTTACCTGATTTTTGTAAAAAATCTCGTTGTTTGACAAATTTTGATGTTTTTTCTAAATGTTTGTGGTCAGAAAAGATGTATTGCGGCTTAGATAAGATGTTAGACATGTCAGAGACTTACTTTACATTCATTTTTTCTTTGTTTTTGCTATTTTTTCTCGATTTTCAGGCATTTTTTGTCCATTTCTTGAATTTGACTGATTTTTCTCGAATTTTTGAAGCTGCCATATATTTTAAATCGTGTATTTTACAGAGCTGAACATTGAACGCCGAAGGAAACGAAAGATTGTGGACACGCCGAAGTCCGAGACCTCAATCAACGAGATCCAAGACGACGTGGTCCGGGATTTGGTCCTGAAAGAAAGAAAATGTCTCAAATTGCTGACCTCGACCCTCGCTCCGATCCACGCGTCCATCGACGAGGCCCTGAGCGACCCGATCTCCACCTTCGACCATTTCGAACAATACGAAAGACATCAGTTGGCCCCCGAAGACCAGATGAACTTCTCCTATTGGAGGGCCAAAATCCTGTCGACGGTCATCGAATGGGCAAAAAGTTTCCCGGAATTTCAAGTAAGTTGGCTTGGAGATTGTTTTTTGAAGGTTTAGGGAGATGTGGAAAAAAGAAAAACTTGAATATTCAAATTTTTTTTTGTTGGAAAATTTTTTTTTGAATATTCAAAATTGGCTCTAAAAATATTGAAAATAGTTGTTAAACACTTCAAAAAAAATTTTTATTTGAAATTCCCTTCAAGTTTCAGAAATTGCCCGAAAAAAAATAAAAATTTGAATATTCAAATTTTTTGTTGGAAAATTTTTTTTTGAATATTTCAAATTTGGCTTTGAAAATAGTGAAAAGAATTGTTAAACTTATCAAAAAATTTTTTTTTTATTTTGAATTCCCTAGTTTAAGTCTCTAATGTTCAAGCTTCAGAAATTGTCCCGCCGCGACCGCGAATCCCTAATTGTCCACTCCTCCTTCTCCAATCTGGTCCTCTCCGAAGCCTTCCACACCCCCGAACGTTTCACCGACCGCATTGTTTTCCCCGATGGCCTCAGTGGGTTCCGAAATTTGACGGCCAACATCCTCAAAGAGCGCTCCGGGCTGATCCCAACCGTCGTAGCGGTCATAAACAATATCCTGGTGCCTATACGAAAAATGAGGATGACTGAGGTGGAATATGTCCTGTTACAGGCCATCATTTTCTTTGATCGAGGTGAGAATTGGCGGGGTAATGAAAAATTTTTTTGATAATGAAAAATTTTGCACTGTGCGGGCGGTTTTATAGGCTAAAAATGGGACTGCACAGTGCAAAAATTTTTTTAGACGGATGAAAAAAATATGATTGAAAAAATTTTTATGTATTTTTTTTTTTTTTTTTTTTTTTTTGCACGGTGCATAGCACTTTTTGGCCTATCTTTGGTCTTTGCACTGTGCAGATTTTCTTTTCAGTTTTTAAAAGTTGTGGTATGTTCCAAATGATTATAATTTGATGGTGTATTAACTACTACGTCTACAGAGAAGGGAATTACACAAAAATTTATTTGTTTGCACAGTGCGACAGTCTTATTTTAAAATTTTTTTGTCTTCGCACTGTGCAAGATGATTTTTGGAGGGAAAATTGGTTTTTCCTAAGCATTTTGGTTTATTGTATGTAATTTGACTGCTTTCAGAATGCATATCCCTCAGCGACGAGTGCATAAAAATCGTGCACGCCAAGCGAAAACAACTCTTGGATTCGCTTCGAAGGCATCTGGACAGTTTGTATCCCAAAAATGAGAGCGCTCACAGATTCGCGGCGTTACTACTTAGGATCTCGAATGTACATGTAAGTTTTGTACCGATTTTTTTTGGAAATTTTTGAAAAATTCCGAATTTTTCCAAAAATTTTGGAGATTTTTGGAAATTTGCTTGATTTTTGAAATAATAATAAGGTAAAAAGTGTAGAAAGGGTGCTGAAATATTTTTAGCGTTATAGTTGTCGATTTCAGAAAGTAGCCGCCTTCAAACGCGAGACCTTGTGCACCATCGAAACCTTCAACCTGATGTCACCCCATCCCCTAACAATGGAGATCTCAAAGAAATACCCAGATGTTTCTTTCTTCTAACCCTACCTCATCCCCCAACACTATCGTCGTCGGCCCTAGATACAAAGACAATCGATCCCGGGTATATTTACAAAAGTCATTGATAAAGGATAATAAATGGTCAGAAATTTGTTGATATGTCGGTGAATTCAAGGGGATTGCGTGGAAAAATAAGTAAGGAGCTCTGAAAAGATTTGGGCGGGTGATTTGGAAAGGTTAGGATCAGCAAAGTTGAAAATTAATAAAAAATTTTAATGCAGAAGTCAAGTATAATATAAAAAATCTGGAGAAGTTCGACATCCGAGCGTTTCAAACGCCGATTAATACGCCATAAAAGCAATGACGAGGCAGTACCGATCGTATTTTACAATTACTCCGGCTTTTTCTAAAAAATCAATAGTGATACTTCGTCCACGTACTAAATGTCAAAAATAATTCTGCTGAATTTTTTGCGAAATAGCTGGGTTAGCGTTATAACTTTACATTCATATGTAATTTATATATATAAGTTATATTTTTATTATAATTTATTAAATCGTCGGTGTTCGTGTTGTCTGGTCCACGATCTGTCTGTGAAAGTCTATCTTTGTCTTTGATCAATCCCCTTCTTTTATACTTGGTCTTTGTTTTTCCAGTCTGCTTATCTCTACATATAGGGGTGGTGCGATTTAAAATTTTTCGTCTTGACTGGCAAAAACCCCCGATTTCTTGGCTGTAGGGCCTCCAGCCAAGAATTTGATATTCTTGGCTGAAATTCAGGCAGAAATTTTTGCCCAAAATTTGGTCAAGAAATCAGTTTTTTTGACTAAATTTTAGTCGATTTTTTTTTGGCTGAACCAAAAAATTTTGGCTGAAATTCAGCCAGAAATCTCAGAGTTCTTGGCTGAACTTTCAGCCAAGCCTTTTTTGGCTCAGCCAAACAAATTTGGCTGAAATTCAGCCAGAATTTGTTTGTCTAAATCTCAGCCAGGGTTTTTTGGCTGCGCAAAAATATTTTGACTCAAATTCAGCCAGAAATCTTCGATTTCTTGGCTGGATTTTGGATAAAACTTCTGAATTTCAAACAAAACAAGATGCCCTAAAAATGAGATTCGTATGTATTCCGGAAAAAATTATACCTGTCGTTAGTGTGGCTTCATACCCGTTCATCCAAATGTTGATACGCCGGTTGTCAGTTGTAGACAGCAATCTGGACTATTTTTCTTGCTGTTGAAGAAGGTCGGGTCGTTGGATTTTGAAGGGACGGGTCCAATCAGAAGTTGTTTGCAGCGCACGACTCAAAAGGGAGCTGTATTACATCAGGTTCGTAGATTACGTGCTGTAATTTAGGCATAAACAATATTTCCCGGCGGCAGGTAAGCTATTTTCACTTCTCTTTGCCCTTTTTTAGGTAAAATTCGACAGAAAATAGAAGGCTCGAGAGAAATCGACTCAGTACCTCTAGTTTATGATCTAACAAATAGCTAAAGTAAAGATATTCCAATTTTTACCCGTTTTTTCTCTTGTCCCGAGCGAAAAAAAGCAAAAACCATCATTGTTGGCCTTGGATAACATACTTTTACCTAAAAGAAAAGAAAAACATAAACAACTTACAAATTGAACGCGGGTAACGTGGACAGGTCGGCGAAGAAATGACTGGTCGAATAACAACAGGTTGCAAAACATTTCCTGTCAAAAACGTAGAAATTTCTCGAAACGCGAGAATACGAAACATGCAAAAAAAAACGAAAATTTCTGGCCGAAAATGTGAATTTTTTCGCGATGGGATCAAACACAATCAGGAACGAAAATGCACGATGTCGTGCTCCTTTCTTGTTTTTATTGTTTGGACACTTGAATTTCCACGCGTTTTCGACTATTTTTTTTAGATTTTTTTGTTTTTAATTTCTCTGTATTTTAGATGTTTCCTGTCAAATAATTCGGGTATAGACAGGTAAAGCTCAAAAATACCTTTGGAGACATGTGGAACAACGAAATGGAACTTGCCTTGTCCCGCTCACCATTGGAACTCCAGTTTCTCACCCAGAAAGGTCACGTCAAAGAAGAAAACAAATTGTGAGTACTATTTGTTTGATTTTTGAGGTTTTAGCTAAATGACCCGTTCGAGGAGACAAATTTCGTGCTGCATGAGCTTTCTGATCAATTCCTGATGTCAAAAGGGAGCGTATTAGGTAACTTTGCCGTTTCAAAATGTTTGACTTGCCATGTGCAATATAACTTTTGGTCGAAAAACCTTCAAGTCCACATTTCCGTCGAAACCAACATCAAGCCCTAAGCACAGACACGTATAGTTTCCTCACGATTTTTGGCAGATGGCGCTTGACTATACCTTGTTTTAGGCTGTTTCGGCTAAAACAAGATCTATATCGTTTGCCAAGTTTTTAGGCCATAATCAATCTTTTTATTATTATGTGATAAATCTTGATCTTTCGCTATTTTATTAAATACCGTGAAATTTACAACGCCAATCAATAGAAAATTTTTTTCACAGTCAAATATTTTGACTGAATGTCAGTCAGTTTTTTTTTGGCTGAGCCAAGAGATTTTGGCTGAACTTCAGACAGAAATCTTGGATTTCTTGGCTGAGTTGCCAGCCAATTTCTTTTTGACTGAACAGAAACATTTTGACTACTGTTCAGACAGAAATCTTCGATTTCTTGTCTGAGTTGCAGGCAAGAATTTGCTGTCTGAAATTCAGACAACAATTTTTGATTTCTTGGCTGGTTTACAGACAAAAAAAAGCATGCAGTCAAGAAACGAAATATTGCTGTCTGAATTTCAGCCAAGAATATCAAATTCTTGGCTGGAGGCCCTACAGCCAAGAAATCGGGGGTTTTTGCCAGTCAAGACGAAAAATTTTAAATCGCACCACCCCTATATATATATACATATGCGATTCGTAATATGCATATCCAAAATTTATTGATTGTCTTGACTTAAACATTTAATTTTCAGAAGAATGTCACAAACTGGCCAGTTTCGGATAATTACTTGGGGATCGGCGACAATAACCACAGATTTACTGGAGAAATGTGCTAAATTATTCTCTGAGAACTATGGAAAGTGGGGAGTAGTGGGATCATTTCCAGGTCGTCCTGTTAAACTATCACATTCTCGATTGAGAAGCGACTACCTGTTCAATCCACAGACTTGTTCATTAATTACTGCAGACACTGGCGTCGATGGCGATGTTGTGGCTCATGCCTTTGTGTGCAGCTTTCCTTTTCTCAGTGGTAAGTTTTTTTCATTTGTAAATAACAAATCTGTTCCTTTTGTGCTAATTTTATTAGAAATTATTTGTTTTAGGCTACGCCGTATGGATCACGCAGCTCGTCGTTAGAAAAGATATGCGTCACAAAGGACTTGCAACTGAGCTGGTGGCTAGAGCATGGAAGAAAGATGCCTTGGCCTGGGGCCTTATGTCATCGCATCCTTACGCTGTTCGAGCTTTGGAAAGTGCAACGCAACGCAAATGTGATCCACAGTTGATTTCTCTTTATGCGAAGGTCTTACTCAAAGCTAGTGGCATTCCTTTTTTCCAAGAATGTAAAATTACTACGACTGAAAATCGTTCTGTAATCCGTAGTAAATTCTTTGTTGATCATACCGAAATTAATGCTATTTTGACCGGCTTGGGAAGTGAATGGAAGCTTGGACCTCTCGAGGAAGGTGATGAATTTTTTGCATTCACTTTCAAGGATCACTTGTAATATGTTTTTAAATTTTCTGTATGATATATGTAGTTATATATTTATTTGGATGTATTGAATAAATTTAAGTGAAATTATTGCTAATATTAGAGCAATAGTAGGATGATTTTAAAGTTATCTATGATTTTGAGATTGTTATGGAGATCTCAAAGAAATACCCAGATGTTTCTTTCTTCTAACCCTACCTCATCCCAACACTATCGTCGTCGGCCCTAGATACAAAGACAATCGATCCCGGGTATATTTACAAAAGTCATTGATAAAGGATAATAAATGGTCAGAAATTTGTGGATAAGTCGGTGAATTCAAGGGGATTGCGTGGAAAAATAAGTAAGGAGCTCTGAAAAGATTTGGGCGGGTGATTTCGAAAGGTTGAGATCACCAAAATGGCAAATTAAACAAATTTTTAATGTAGATGTCAAGTATAATATAAAAAATCTAAAAAATCTAGAGAATTTCGACATCCGAGCGTTTGAAACGCCGCTTAATACACCATAAAAGCAATGATTACGCGGCAACATTCGTATTTTACAATTTCTCCGGTTATTTCCAAAAAATCAATAGTGACACTTCGTCCACATACGAAATGTCAAAAATAATTCTGCAGAATTTTTGCGAAATAGCGTTATAAGTGGTTTAGCGTTCGAACGGCCTTCTTTGATAGCGATTGGCAAAAGCAGAAAGTGAAAGGTAAACGGGAAATATTTATTTATATTGTACTAGGTATCATTCGAGAAATTGGTATGTTAGGCTTGATTGTAAGCGATGTTTCAAGTTGCTTTATGTCAAGAACATCATTCTACAGCCTTTTTAAGCCTAGCTTTTCTTCGTCACAGGTTTTTTAATCAGTCTTGAGCATCTAGTTCAATAATTCGGAAAGCGGTAATATTATATTGCTTGTGGTGATAATTTATTTCTGTCGAGCTTTATTACCCTAGAAACTAGTAAAATATTGTCTAAACTTTCCATTCAGACCTCAATCATGGCGACAACAATCCCGGGAAGCTTGGTCAACAAGACCAAGAAGCATTTCATGGGAATGCCGGCTCCAGCGGGCTATGTGGCTGGTATCGGTCGTGGTGCCACCGGATTCACAACACGGTCTGATATTGGTCCCGCAAAAGATGCCGGAGAGAGCTTACCAGATGCTCCAGGGGGACCGCCAGCTAAAAAACCGAAGGAGACTGACGATGAGCCGGAGGATCTGAATGACGCCAACTTTGACGATGTAAGTTAATATTTTTGTTATCTTGCTTTGGTTTTTAGGTAAAGAAGGAGGAATTGTAAATGATCAGCGACAATAGAGTCTGACTGTGGCTAAAAAATAAATTTCATATTGCTTAGTGGAGCAGGGTTTCAATGGCGAACAATTTTATGTTATCCATGGGGACTTGATAATACAAGTTGAATTTTTGTTTACTTTTGATGCTAAAAGACTATTTTTGGTTCTGTGGTTGGCGGAATAGGTTGGGGCAAGTTCAAAGGAGCATTTTTAGTACTAAATTTCACAAAGCGACATCTGCTTTTCACGTCTATTTTTATCTTTCGCCGAAGGGCGCGTCAGCTGAAATAAGGTCAATTAAAATTGCCGAAAATAGCGATTTAACCATGATAAGCTTTCTTCTTTTAGTTCGAAGGTTATGGAGGCAGTTTATTCTCTAAAGACCCGTATGACAAAGAGGACGAGGAGGCTGATGAAGTCTATTATCAAGTGGATTGCCGACAAGATGAACGACGAAAGGCTTATCGAGAAAAGAAGCTGAAAGAACAAATAGATGCGTACAGAAAAGAACGGCCAAAGATTCAGCAACAGTTCAGTGATTTGAAGCGGCAATTGTCAGCGGTTACCGAGGACGAATGGGCTGCTATTCCAGAGGTCGGAGATTCCAGAAATAAGGCCAAAAGAAATCCGAGAGCCGAAAAGTAAGTGGAGTTATTGGATGACGTGGCTATATGGCATATATTTTACCTAATAACTTTTTTATTTCTTAAGTTTAACGTATTTTTTATAACTTTTTTCTAAATTATATTACTTTAGGTCGAAAATTGATGTTTTTGTTAGGAAATGAGGGCGAAATAATGTTTTTGAGGCCATATTTTTCTGAATGAACCCTTGTGTTTACAAAATTTTACTATTTTTTGGTATTTTTTTTATCAAATTTATATTACTTTAGGTATGATTCCGGAAAAAATTTATTCCAAATAAAACGACTTATATCGTATTTTACCAACCCAAACCATCTTATTTTCAGATACACAGCAGTTTCGGACTCCCTAATCGCCAGTGCGATGAGTTTTGGCCAGATTAGTTCGGTCCTGGATCAAGATGTTCAGTCCGGAATCGCCTCCACAACCTCGGGATTCCGCTCCACCGTCGGTGGGATGAAAACGCCGGGCCTGGCGACGCCCGCAGGTACGCGGACATCCACCGATTTGGATCTGCAGAAGATTGGCCAAGCCCGAAAGGGCATCATGGATATCAGATTGAAGGGGGTAAGTGGCTGTAAAATATAGATTTTTTGCTTGGAAATAGTGGAATAGTTGATTTTAGGGATTTTTGAAGTAATTTTGAGGGCTGTATTGGATTGGATTACTTTAATTTTTTATAATTTTTTGGGAAGTTTGAGAGAAAAATTGGTTAAAAAGGGATGAAATTATGGTAGAATAGTGCGGATTAGGTGATTTCAGGGATTTCTGAAGTAATTTTGGGGGTTGTGTTGGATTGGATTACTGTAATTTTTAAAAATTTTGGGGAAATTTTAAAGAAAAAAATGGGTTGAAAAGGCGGAAAATTATGGTAAAATACGGATCCTTTAATCAAGCATATGTATTATAAATCCTGAAAATTAAATTTGCCATCATTTGCGGGCTGAATTTCGAAGATACGACCGTTTATTTTTAAGAAATACGATTTTTTTTGTTTTTTTTTGATTATCATCATGGAGCTTGGCTATTTAGGAGTAAAAAAGAAGGTTTTTTGGATGGTAGATATATGTTAGGCCTGGGAAATGAGTTTACCAGACGCTCTGCTAATTTTGGGATACTGTAACATGGAAAAATTTGAAAGATTTGCTGATATATGCAAGTTTTGCCTTCGAATTACCGATTTTTGTCGATTTTTGTGTGATATTATAATTTGGGTTGTAAAATACGTGATATCCGCAGCTATTGTTTGTATTAGCTTACTGTAACATCAAAAAATTTTTCGAATTCTTGCATTTTTTTCGAATTTTTTTCCAATTTCCTCTCCAAATGATGAAAGAAACTCGGTGAGCGCTTGAAATTTTATTATTTCAGTTTTTAACAGGCACTGAGAATGTCACAGTGTCTGTTTAGTTTGTAAAAGCCGAAAAGAATTTGCCATGCGCATGAAAAATTCGAAAAAGTTTGAATTTTCAGCTTTAATGGCAAGTACAAGGTCCTAGACCGACAATTTTGAAAAGGCTTTTGCGCAATGACCCTTTTATTGAAGTTTTCAATCTGATGGAAAGGAATTGGAAGTAAAATACGGAGAAATTTATTCATCATATTTGATTATTTTAGGAATTTTTGGTAAAATTTTTTAAAAATAATAATGAAAAATTAAATTTTCAAAAAACTTAAATATACAGTTTTGTAGAGGAGAAAAAGCTGTATCAAATAAATATATACCCTTTGCCAAACAACAAACAGTATTTGTAAAAAAAGTAATGCAAAAAAAACGAACGAACTTTCTGGACGAGCTAATATTTTTGGGTTAAATTTGGAGATTTTTGTCAATTTTTTGGTGTTTTACTGCTTACAAGGGAAGTACTTGAAGTGCGACGCTCAGATTTTGATAAAAATTGGCATAGATGAAGATTGGAATTTTCTTATTCGATTGCGCGCATTCTAGCTCGCGCTTTGCAGAAACCGCCGAGAAAAAAGGGCCGAAATATCGAAAAAAATCTTCAAATGCCGGCGAATTTTCCCTGATTCCATTGATCTTGGCATTCCGTTTCAGGAGAAAAATATATTTTTTCTCGCAAGAAATTTTTTGTTGATATTGTTCAAGACTATTTTGTTGCTTTTATGTGGAATATGGTGTGTTGTTTTCAATTGTCGCCATCCGAAGGGTAAAATGTTTCGTTTTTTGACGAATTAATGCAGTTTTTTCCTCTGCGGATGGGCAAACCACTCTAATAGTTGCTTCAAAGTCGTTTAGGAGAGATGCAAAACGTTCTACGGTCGTGCATGAACGTAGTTATAAAGTAAGTGTAAAAAAATTTTTATTTTTTCACTGTTTTTCAGTTTATTCCATTTATAAAACAAAGTAAGTGTCTCAAGGGTGCTCCGCCTGTGTACAGTGTTCCGATGGTGCACATTCGCTGTTCTCGTTGTTCAGAATTTGCTTGCTGAAATAAAAAATAAAATTTTTGGGAAACTTACTCTATGATTCGTTCATACACGAAGTAGAACGTTTTGCATCTCTTCTGATCAACTTTGAAGCAACTATTAGAGTGGTTTGCCCATCCGCAGAGGAAAAGCTGCATAAATTCGTCAAAAAACGAAACATTTTACCCTTCGGATGGCAACAATCCAATTAATAGCGCTGGAATCATGTCCTGAGTATAAAAAAGTGAAAATAACACATCATAATCCACATAAAAGCAACAAAACAGTCTTGAACATTATCAAGAAAAAATTTCTTGCGAGAAAAAATATTTTTCTCCTGGAACGGAATGCCAAGATCAAGAGAATTTGCAGGGAAATTCGTCGGCATTTGAAGATTTTTTCCGATATTCCGGCCCTTCTTTCTCGGCGGTTTCTGCAAAGCGCGAGCTAGGATGCTCGTAATCGAATAAGAAAATTCCAATCTCCATCTATGCCAATTTTTATCAAAATCTGAGCGTCGCACTTCAAGTACTTCCCTTGTTAAAAAGAATTGTAAATATTTCACAATTTAATTTCAGGCCTTTTTCTTCTATAAAAATACTATTTACAGCATTTCCGACCATCTTTTTATATTACAGTACCCATCCCTTTCAGGTGTCAGATTCGGTGACCGGACAAACCGTCGTGAACCCCCAATCCTACCTAACAGACCTCCAATCCATCAATCCGGCCAATGGAATCGATGTGAGCGACGTGAAGAAGGCCCGAAGTTTGTTCAAGTCAATCCGAGACAGTAATCCCAACCATCCGCCGGCCTGGATTGCATCGGCGAATCTGGAAAGTGCGGTCGGCAAAATGCAGGCAGCACGGAACTTGATCATGGAGGGATGCGAGAAGAACCAGGACTCGGAGGAACTATGGCTAACCGCCGTCAGACTTCACCCACCTGATCAGGCTAAACTTATCGGTAAGATTGGGTTATATTTGATCAATTGGAAAGAAGTTGGGGGAGATTTGAGGGTCATAAGGAAGATTAGAGCAGTGTACGGGATTTTTGAGGATATTGGAGCTTGGGTTTTGAATTTTTGACACATTTTTATATTGTTTTAGGCTAAAAAATGATGAATTTTTGAAAAAATTGACAGTTTTTTGAAAAATTTGGGGGAACTGGGAAAGTAAAAGGAAATTTAGAGAAGATTAAAGAGTTTTTGACAATGTAAGGAAGTTTTTGAAAAAAATGGGTATTTTTTATATTGATTTAGGCAAAAAGTCGTCAAAATTTTGAGAAATTTGATGTTTTTGGGTGGAAAATTAATTTTAATGACTGTAAATTGATTATTTTTGGGTGAAAGATGAAGCTTCTCTTCTATTTTTATTATTCTGAATATAATTTTACTTGATTTTATTACCGAAATTTCGATATTTTTGAAAAAATTTTAAAAAAATTAATTTTTTCAAAAAAATTTTTTTTTTGATTTTTTATCGTTTTTTCAGTCTCAAACGCCGTGAACCACCTTCCCACATCAGTTCCAATCTGGCTAGCCGCCGCTGGTCTCGAAACTGAACTGAAATTGAAGAAAAAAGTGCTCCGGAAAGGCCTGGCCCGCGTCCCCAAATCGGTGAAGCTCTGGAAAGCCGCGATAGACCTCGAAACAGACGAAGAAGAGGCCAAAAAATTGCTGACGAGAGCTGTGGAATGCTGCAGCTCCAGCACCGACCTTTGGCTGGCATTGGCGAGGCTGGAAACCTACGAAAACGCGAGGAAAGTCCTGAACAAGGCCCGAGAAAACATCCCCACCGACCGACAAATCTGGATCAGCGCCGCCAAACTCGAGGAAACCAAAGGACAGGTGGAGATGATCGAGAAATTGATGGAAAGAGCGCTGATCTCCCTCAGGGCGAACCAGGTTGAGATCACGAGAAAACAGTGGTTTGAGGACGCGATCGACGCCGAAAAAAGTGGTTGCCCCCTCACGGCTAATGCAATTATGTAAGAATTTGAAGTTGGATTAGAGAGCGGAGACCTTGAGGAGTAGTGAAAATGAATTTTGGGAAATTTGGGTTACTGTAACAAAGAGAAATTTGAAAAAATGGCGGAATTTTGGGGTTTTTTGGAAACTTTTGGTTTTTTTGATGGATTTGAATGGGAAGAAGGGTGAAATTGAAATTCTAATATAAAATACGAATGTTAGATTGACTGGAAATAAATTTTGTAGCATACTTCGGTTAGTACAACATAAAAATTTTTTAATTTTTTTGTGATTTTTTAACAATTTTTTAGATATTGGTTATTCAAACGATTTTTCTGAATGAAAATGTTTTTAAAATACGTCAATTTCAAGTATTCATCAATTTGGGTTACTGTAACATCAAAAAATTTTAAAGTTTTGCAATTTTTTCGGATTTTTTTTCTATTTCCTCTCCAAATGATGAAAGAAACTTGGTGAGCGCTTGAAATTTTATTATTTCAGTTTATAGCAGACATTGAGAATGTCAAGTGTCTGTTTAGTTTGAAAAAGCCGAAAAAGAATTGTCATGCGCATGAAAAATTCGAAAATGATTGGATTTTTCAGCTTTAATGGGAAGTACAAGGTCCTATACTGATAATTTTGAAAAGGCTTTTGCGCAATGACCCTTTTATTGAAGTTTTCAATCTGATGGAAAAGAATTGGAAGTAAAATACGGAGAAATTTTTAAAAATTTTACGATTTTTTTTTGATTTTTTGGAGATTTTGTGATATTTGGTGGTTAATATGCATGTTATTTGAAAAATTAGTTCATTTTACTACGTTTTGCATCCGATTTATGTATGTTTTTGACAAAAGTTTGAGATTTTTGAGAAATTTTTGCCTAGTGTAATATAAAATTTTCAATTTTTTTGTCTAAAATAATATCCAAAATGTTGCAGAAAGCATGTTATGGGTGTTGGAGTGGAAGAGGAGGACAAAAAGGCCACATTTTTGTGAAAAATTTGAGATTTTTGAGAAATTTTTGCCTGGTGTAATATAAAAATTTTCAATTTTTTGTCTAAAATAATACCCAAAATATTTCAGAAAGCATGTTATGGGTGTTGGAGTGGAGGAAGAGGACAAGAAGACCACCTGGCTCGAGGACGCCGAGTTTTTCACCAACCAACAGGCCTTCGAATGCGCCCGATCCATCTACGGATTCATGCTGACAGAGTTCGCCGAAAAGAAGTCGGTCTGGCTGGAAGCAGTGGTCTTCGAAAAGGAGCACGGCACTCCCGAAAGCTACGAAAATCTGCTCAAAAAAGCGGTCGAAAAATGCCCCAAAGCGGAGGTCCTGTGGCTACGCTACGCCAAGGCCCGCTGGCAACAGGACGACGTCGCTGGAGCCCGCCAAATCCTCTCCGAAGCCTTCCAAAAGAACCCCAATTCGGAGAATGTGTGGATGGCCGCCGTGAAGCTGGAATCCGAGACCAATAATTACGAAGCAGCGAGGAAATTGCTCACCAAAGCCCGAACAATGGCTCCATCCCCCCGGTTCTGGCTCAAATCCGCCCGATTGGAGTGGTGCTTGGAGGATCTGGCCGCTGCGGAGGAGTTGCTAAAGGTAAACGAGAGTTTTGGAGAGATTTGAAAGGGTTTTGGAGAGATTTTAGAGATTTTATATTGGTTTAGGTGGGCTTGAGGGAAAATTTTGATTTTTTATATTTTTTGATATTTTTTGGAGGATTTGAATCAAAAGGAATGTAATTTGAGAGAGAATATGGAATTTTGGAGTAGTACAGAGTGAAATTGAGAGAAATGAAGGGAATTTTTTATATTATTTTAGGTGGGTTTGAATGAAAATTTTGATTTTTTATATTTTTTGGAGGATTTGAAGGGAAAGTAGTGTTATTTGAGACAGAATAGAGAATTTTTGAGTACTAGAGAATAGAATTGAGAGGAATGAAGGGAGTTTTTTATATTGGTTTAGGTGATTTTGAGGAAAATTTTGATTTTTGATATTTTTTTGGAGAATTTGAGGGGAAAGGAGTGTAATTTCAGAGAGAATAGAGAATTTTGGAGTAGTAGAGAGCAGAATTGAGAGGAATACAAGGAATTTTTTTTATATTGGTTTAGGTGATTTTGAGGAAAATTTTGATTTTTTATATTTTTTTGGAGGATTTGAGGGGAAGGGGTGTTATTTGAGAGAGAATAGAGAATTTTGGAGTACTAGAGAGTAGAATTTAGAGGAATGAAGGGAGTTTTTTATATTGGTTTAGGTGGTTTTGAGGGAAAATTTTGATTTTTGGATGTAATTTGAAGACTTCTTAGGAAGATTTTGTTCTGTTAGAATGATTATCATATTTTGAATTCGTACTGGGTGAATAGAGAGAATTGAAGAGGAATTTTTGCGTTTTTTAGATGATTTTGAACCAAAAAATTGAATTTTCCCCCTTTTTCCTAGTTTTCTGATGATTTTTGGAGGATTTTTTGCAGGAAAAGTAATATCTGTCGTATTTTACAACTGTTTTTGATGTTCTACAAAAAAAATTTTTCAGGAAGGTATCCAAAAGTATCCCGATTTCGAGAAATTCTTCCTCATGCTCGGCCAGCTCTACGAACAACAAAAGCGCTTCGACGAAGCGAGAAAAGCCTTCACAACGGGCACCCGCCGATGCCCCAACTCCATCATCAACTGGCTGTTGTTGATCCGCTTCGAGGAGTCCCAAAATGTGGCCGTAAAAGCACGCTCCGACCTGGACATGGCCCGTCTAAAAAACCCCGCCAACGAATTGCTGTGGCTCGAAGCGATCAGGTTGGAGTATAGAGCCGGCAAAAAGGACCTGGCACAAAGTATCCTGGCCAAAGCCCTGAGGGAATGCGAAAATTCAGGTGGGAAATTTGAAAAAGAATTAAAAAAATTTTTTTTGGAGTTTTTTAGATTTTTTTGAGTTTTTTTGGAGTTTTTGGTGGATTTTTAGGGGTTTTTGGTGGATTTTGAGACGATTTTTTCGACGCGGATGATAGTGGAAATTTGCACTACGAAATGCGACAAAATTTTTTTCTTTGAAAAATGATTTTTTGACGAAATTAGGGAGTTTTGAGATTTTGAAAATTTGTCGCGGGCCATAGTGGAAATTTGCCTTGTGATCGGCGATAATTTTTTTTGAAAAATTGGGGTTTTTTGCGTTTTTGGAAGTTTTTAAAATTTTTAAGTTTTGTCACTGGTCGTAGTGGGAATTTGCACTACAAATTCGCCAAAAAGAAACAATTTTTCAAAAAAAAAAAAAAAAAAAAAAAAAAAAAAACAAAATAAATTGTCGCCGATCACAATGTAAACATCCACTATGACCCGCGACAAATTTTCAAAATCTCAAAAATCCCTAATTTCTGCAAAAAAAATCGTTTTTTCCAAAAAAAAAAATGTCGCAATTCGTAGTGCAAATTCCCACTACGAACAGCGACAAAGTTGGGAAATTTTAAAACTTCTAAAATCGCCCAAAAAATCAATTTTACAAAGAAAAAAATTTTGTCGCCAATCACAAGGCAAATTTCCACTATGACCAGCGACAATTTTTTTCCTAAAAACGAATTTATAATACGACAGATTTTTTGCGATTTTTTTTGGGTTTGATGTTTTTTTTATATTTGACCCCAATTTTTTCAGGCATTCTCCACGCAGAAGCCATCTACCTCGCCACGAAGCATCAACGCCGCTCGGTGTCGATCCAGGCGCTGGAAAAGTGCCCCGAAAGTCCGCACGTCCTCCTGGCCGTCTCCAAAATGATGTGGGCCGAACGGAAGATCGCCAAAGCCCGGGAATGGTTCCAAAGAGCCCTGAAAATGGACCGAGATCTGGGCGACATCTGGGCATTTTACTACAAATTCGAAGTGATCCAAGGCACCTCGGACCAGCAACTCAAAGTCCTCGAGGATTGTAAACTCGCCGAGCCCAGGCATGGAGAACTGTGGCAAAAGGTCTCCAAAGACATCAAGAATTGGAGAATGACAACTGAACAGATATTACTAACTGTCGCGGCATCGGTCGACATCCCACGATAGGAGTTTTGAGCGATTTTTTTGGGAATTTTGGACGAAAATTGGATTTTTTCAAAATTTTTGAAAATTTTTGCCGATTTTTAGGGTTTTGTTGAGTGAAACGGGATGTAATAGAGAAAAGAGGGATTGGTTATTGTATGATAAGCAATTTTGACAAGATTTTTTGCCGATTTTTTAGAGAAAATTTAGATTTTTCAGCTGAAAATTGGATTTTTTGGTATATTTTGGCGAAAAATTATTATTTTTGAGTTTTTTGAAAAGAAAAATAAGGAATTAGATGGAAAAATGATTGGAGATTAAACTAGGGGTAATTTCGAATCAAATTTGGTTTATTTCTTGGTCGAAAAATCCGTATTTTAGCCAAAAGTCACCTGAAAATCGAGATTTTTTGGATTTTTTCGAAATTAGCCCTAATTTTAGGGAAAATCAAAAATGAAAAAGTGATTAATATCTCTGTTATGGCCTGTTACATCAAGTTTCACCGGAATTGTAAGTTATTTTTGGGACCTGTTGACCTCTTTTTGTTATTTATCAATCTCTCCGATGATCTACTTTTTGATGTGAATAATACTCGAATAAATGTAAAATACAACTTGATTTTACTGATAATGTCTTTTCCAATGGTTTGACGGCCATTTTTATTTTTGATTACTGTATTTTACAATTTTTTTAAAAAATTTTTTTTGAGATTTTTTGATTTTTTTCGGAAAAATTCGGATTGGAATTGAATTTCATGATGTTTTTAGGGGGTCTGATGGTGGAGCTTACGTATTTTACAAAAAACTTTCTAGATGAACATCTCCAAACTGGTCGGATTCCATCGATTTGCACTGCACAGTGCGAAACCGAGATTTTTCTCGACAGCCGTCGAAGAAACCCAACAGGAAGAAAATAAATGGGCCTACAATCATGTGGAAGCCAAGAAAGGCCTGTTCAAACCGAAGCATACGGTCGAGGAACAGATTGCATATATGAAAAGCAAGGGTAAGATAACTGGACCTTATTTTAGACGAAATTTGATTATTTTCTGATGTTTTTCGATGATTTTTGGAATGGGTGTTGTGAAAATAGAACTCTCATTATCTTTTTCGTATTTTACATGTTGTCTTTTTTGATTTTTATTTCGAATTTTGCATTTTTTTCGCTATTTTTTGGAAATTTCTGGGATTTTTTTTGATTTTTGGTTTTTTTTGGATATCAATTAATTTTAAAGAATTTTAAATGGTATTTCTTGACCCTGTAGCACCAGATAGAGCAAAAAATATTTTGAATTTTTAAAAATTTCAAAAATTTTTTTTTTCATTTTTGCCATTTTTTCAATTAATTTTGTATTTTTCAGTCTATGAAAATTCCTATCAAGGCCTCCCAGTCCACAAATGGTATCGGCGAAATCTGAAAGGCCAGGCTTACATCCAACCCCCGCCTCGGATGTTTTGTATCGAAAAAACTGGGAAATTCCGATTAAATCATGCTTGTCCAGTCTGCCGAGACGAGTATTTGTTCTTTGATTATCGTGTAAGTTGATTTTTCGATTGTTAAAAAAATTTTTTTTGTTGTTTTTGACGATTTTTTACCTAAAATTACATATTTTTTCGATTTTTGATGAAGAAATTTCAGAACCCCGCTTTGATCGAGCAGTTCCTCGCTCCCGGCACGGATCAGCCCATGGATTTGCTGAAATCCGGCCTTTGCCGCGATCAGTACATCCAACTCAAGGCTCAGCTTTTGAAAGCCAGAGAACATGGTAAGCAAAAAGAAATTTGACGTTTGCACGGTGCGGGAACTTGAATTTATAGGGTGCACTGTGCAAGAAAAAAGGGTTTGTTTTTGCACTGTGCGAAAGACCAAAAGAGAGGTTTCACTGCACTGTGCAAGAGTTTTCTTACTTTTGTTGGATTGCACTGTGCGATAAGAAAGAATTTTTCTTTTTTGCACTGTGCAAGACTAGCGACAAAAAAGCGAACTTTTGACTGCACTGTGCAAAACGAAAGATGGAAGGAGGAGTTTTCATTGCACTGTGCAAGGCTTTTCTTGTTGTTTGCTGGATTGCACAGTGCGAAAATAAAAAAGAGAATTTATGCACTGTGCAATCACTCGCTTTTGTTTGTAATGCACTGTGCGATGAGAAGGAATTTTTCTTTCTTTGCACAGTGCAACACGAGCGACAAGAAAGTGAAAGTTTGATTGCACTGTGCGGAATTTGAAAAAAAGTTTTTGTTTTGCACGGTGCAATCAAAAATATGTAGTGCACTGTACAGAAACTTTTTGATTTTTGGATTGCACTGTGCGAAAATAAGAAAAAAAGAATTTTTGCACTGTGCAAAGCTAGCGACAAAAAAGCGAACTTTTGACTGCACTGTGCAAAACGAAAGACGAAAGGAGGAGTTTTCATTGCACTGTGCAAGACTTTTTTTGCTTTTGTTCGATTGCACAGTGCGAAAATAAAAAAAGATAATTTTTGACTGTGCAAAGTCTTGTTTTTTTTTGAAATGCACTGTGCGATGAGAAAGAATTTTTCTTTCTTTGCACAGTGAAACACGAACGACAAGAAAGCGAAAGTTTGATTGCACTGTGCGGAATTTCGAAAAAGTTTTTGTTTTGCACGGTGCAATCAAAAATATGTAGTGCACTGTGCAGAAACTTTTTGATTTTTGGACTGCACGGTGCGATTATTTTTGAAAGTTTGGAATTGCACAGTGCGAAAATAAAAAAAGAAGAATTTTTGCACTGTGCAAAGCCTTTTTTGATTGAACTGCACTGTGCGACAAGGAAGAAGTTTGATTTTGCACAGTGCAACACGAGCAAAACGAAAGCGAACTTTTGATTGCACTGTGCAACGAAAGAATTTTTTGGTTGAGTGCACAGTGCGAAAAAAATTTTATTTTTGGACCGCACAGTGCGATGATTTTTAAAAGTTTGGAATTGCACAGTGCGAAAATAAAAAAAATGGCGTTGAATTTTGTAGAAATAAGTGGTGATTTTGAGAGCGAATAATGGTAATTTATTCGAATTTTAGGTACCCTCGAGTTCGGTATCGAATTCCGCGCCTTCGATTACAAACTGTGGTACGAGAATTGGCAGGAACAACCGGAACTCGCCGCCTTCCACGAGCACGACGAAGAGATCCCATTGACCCGAAAATCCACCAAAATGGAACACATCTTCCAGGACGAACAGATCTTCTTCCCCATTCACAACCGAGAACGCCACCGCGATTGGGACGAGTGGTGGAAGCGACACGATAAATTCGCTAAAAAGGCCAAGTAGAATGCTGAATAGGACCTGTTGACTTGATTGGCAAGATTCAGCGACAATCGGCTAGGATGAATGGGATTTTTTTGGGATTTGGGGATTTTTTGGATATTATACTAGGTATTTTTTGATTTTTTTGGATGGAAAAAGGTGTTTTTGGAGGTTTTAAAAAGTGATTGGGGAAAATTAGAGAGTTTTGTGGGATTTGGAATTGTTTTAGAGGATTTTTTTTTTGATATTACACTTGATGAATTTGAGATTTTTTGAAAAAATTTTAAAATTTCTTGGATTTTTTGATGTTTTTTGGCCTCAAATAAGAGTTTATAGAAAGATAAGATCTTCTTGTTTGTTTTAGCCGATTTTTTCGCTGAATTTTCGCCATATTTTATTAGTTGTTTTACCATTTTTTGATTTTTTTTTTGTTTTTGAACGATTTTTGTTGGTTTTTTTGAAATAAAAAAGAAAATAATAATTTATTTGTCTTTTTTAATTGTTTTTATCTATATTTTTATTTTAAATTTGAACTTTTTAACTTTTCAATTTTTTTTTTAATTTTTTTATTCAAATTTATGCAAATTTTTGGGTCCCACCGCGAAAACTTTGACTCAAAGACCTTTTTAAAGCCTTTTTAAAGGTATAGAATTTATTCAAATATTAAAATTTCCCTCCGGCGTCCATCCTAATCCCCCCCGAAACATGTGTTTCATGCACCGTGCAAACATTGGCCCATATGGACTTACTCAGGTATTTGATAGGGGCGAAACAAACCCCGAGCGGTTCAATGTTTGTCCGCGAAACCGCATATTCAAATATTAGAGAGCGAGTTCCGACCGCATGATGGATTACCCGCCTCAGTTTCGGATATTCTCCATGATAAATACGGGTGATTTATGCGGTAGAAGGGGGAAAAGTTGAGTGAATAGGAACGGAAATAATTTATGGCGGGTGGCTTTAGCTTTTTGTAGCGTCTAATTAACTCTGAATTCATTTTCCAACGAATTCTTTGTTTTGCACAGTGCAATTAAAAAAATAGTGCAAAATTCGGTCTGCACCGTGCAGTGTGGTTCGAAATTTTGAACAGAGTAATTTTATAAGGCTATGGTCATCGTAGACAAACAAAATTTGTCGCTGTATATCGCACAATTCGGAATTTGCTTCCCTTTGTCCAGTGCACAGTGCAATCGGAAAAATTGGACAAAAAAGTTTTTGCACGGTGCGGAGAAATGTAAAATTGTAGCATGGTGATGTCTGAGGACCCGTTGATATATTGTCAATTAGCTGTAACCAAAATTCCTCTTGTTAAACATGTTACAGTAACTTTTTGATTTTGCACAGTGCAAAGAGAAAAAAACGAAAAAGTTTGACTGCACAGTGCAACAAAAGTTAAGAAATTAATCGTCAGGCTTTCTAGCACTGTATAAAAAATAAAAACATTGGCTAGTTGTTTTTTTTTTGAATGCACAGTGCGATAAATCGAATTTTTGATTTTGCACAGTGCAGTCCCAAAAATAGTGTAAATTTTGGATTGCACTGTGCAGGAAAAATCGAGGTGTGAATTTTCAGAGTAGCTGAGTTATGTAATATAAAATTTTGAAAAGAATTAGTCCTTTTATTTGCCGCACAGTGCGTTAAATCCAATTTTTGATTTTGCACAGTGCAGTCCCAAAAATAGTGTAAATTTTGGATTGCACTGTGCAGGAAAAATCGAGGTGTGAATTTTCAGAGTAGCTGAGTTATGTAATATAAAATTTTGAAAAGAATTAGTCCTTTTATTTGCCGCACAGTGCGTTAAATCCAATTTTTGATTTTGCACAGTGCAGTTCCAAAAATAGTGCAAAAATTGGAACGCACTGTGCAGGGAAAGTTGAAGTATGAGTTTTCAGAATAGTTGGGGTGAGTCATATAAAATTTTGAAAAAAATTAGTCCTTTTATTTGCCGCACAGTGCGTTAAATCCAATTTTTGATTTTGCACAGTGCAGTTCCAAAAATAGTGCAAAAATTGGAACGCACTGTGCAGGGAAAGTTGAAGTATGAGTTTTCAGAATAGTTGGGGTGAGTCATATAAAATTTTGAAAAAAATTAGTCCTTTTATTTGCCGCACAGTGCGTTAAATCCAATTTTTGATTTTGCACAGTGCAGTTCCAAAAATAGTGCAAAAATTGGAACGCACTGTGCAGGGAAAGTTGAAGTATGAGTTTTCAGAATAGTTGGGGTGAGTCATATAAAATTTTGAAAAAAATTAGTCCTTTTATTTGCCGCACAGTGCGTTAAATCCAATTTTTGATTTTGCACAGTGCAGTTCCAAAAATAGTGCAAAAATTGGAACGCACTGTGCAGGAAAAGTTGAAGTATGAGTTTTCAGAATAGTTGGGGTGAGTCATATAAAATTTTGAGAAATATTAGCCTTTTTATTTACCGCACAGCGCGTTAGACCCACTTTTTAATTTTGCACAGTGCAGTCCCAAAAATAGTGTAAAAATTGGAACGCACTGTGCAATTTATTTTTTAAGATTTCTCCGGACCGTCGGCAAATCAAAGCCCCCAAAAATTTCCCTAGTCCATGAATTTGCAGGTGCAAAAAAATCGCAAAAAATGGACGACCTTGTTGATTAGTCGTAAAACCCTTCGATCGGACTCAATAAATACCCTTTTCGGCTTCGATTTTAACGACGTTTGCTGCCTGTTTGGGACGCATGGATAATGTGTGAACCCCGGAAAATCGGCGGACCCAGATTTTACTGTGTTTTCGAATGTTTTCCGAGTTTATCGCCCTCTTTTTCGGCCACCGGATTTCCTGGGAATGGGTGGAGAAACCGATTAGAGTGCTATTTAGAAGGCCTTGGGACAACTGCGGCATTTATTGTGTTCATTGTGTGTTCAAATTTGGAAAAAATCAAGGAAATGGAAATAAATTTGTCTTTTTTTCATTTTTAGACACCGAAAAGTACGAAGATTACTGTAATTTCCCTCTCAGAATAAAATTTTTTAAGTTTAAAAACTTTTGCACAGCGTTTTTAATGATTTTCGTCGACTGCACAGTGCAGAAAATATTTTTTGATTTTCCGCACTGTGCAGACGAGATTTTAGCTTATTTTGGCGCCCGCACTGTGCAATTACCAATTTGTTATTTTTTGCACCGTGCGGTTTTTATTTTTGTCGCGGATTTTGCACAGTGCGGAAGGTTTTTGAAACTTTCAGTTTGCACGGTGCAGTTGAACGAAAAGTTTTTTTATTGCACAGTGCAAAGGTCAATTTTTTGCACCGTGCAGTTTTATTTTTGTCGCTGATTTTGCACAGTGCAGAAGGTTTTTGAAAGTTTCGGTTTGCACGGTGCAGTCGGACGAAAAGTTTTTTTTATTGCACAGTGCAAACGGTAAATTTTTTATTTTTCGCACCGTGCGATTTTTATTTTTGCCGCTGATTTTGCACAGTGCAGAAGGTTTTTGAAAGTTTCGGTTTGCACGGTGCAGTCGGACGAAAAGCCTTGCAATGGCACAGTGCAAAGATCAATTTTTTGTTTTCGCACCGTGCGATTTTTATTTTTGTCGCTGATTTTGCACAGTGCAATCAAAAATGGCTTCTCTTGAGAATGCACTGTGCACAAAAACCAAGTTTTGTTTTCGCACGGTGCAGTCGACGAATATTGTTTTTGCACAGTGCGAAAAGGTTGTTTTTTGTTTTCTGCACTGTGCAAAAGCAAAGAGAAGCATTTTCTTGCCATTGTATTCAAATTTTATGCCAAGTTCTTGAAGAACCTTGTTTTTCCGGACCCAATAAATCTTTTATTATAATTTACGACGGCTTGGCGTCCCACTGGCGGACTTTATTAGCCTCGCGCTTCATTATTCCTCCATCTGGGTTCTTAATTTTGGTTGCGCCACGAACAATTATTCCCGGAAAATCACTTCAGACCCCATTCTGTTGTGTTCCGGACTCTCTGGGCTTATTAAAAACAAGAATTTTAAAGGTTTTCTCAGACTTTTTCGCCAAAAATTGAATATTCTGTCGAGTTTTCGCGCATTTAGCGGTGAAATCTCCATGGCAACTGGTGTCGTGCTCATGCGTTCCACTAATTAGAACAATTTCAGGCTTAGCTTGTTTTGCGAAAGCCTTTTTCAAAAGGCTTTGTTGTTTTCCGCACCGTGCGGCCCGATTTTTGGACTATTTTTGGGCTTGCACTGTGCAGTCGGAAAAAAGTTGATTTTTTTTTTGAAATGTAAACAAAAAATTGAAACGAAATTTGTTCAAGGGGTCAGTAAAATGCTTAAAAAAATTTTTTTATGCTGATTAATTTTTTTCCGCACCGTGCAGCCCGATTTTTACACTATTTTTGTCTTTGCACTGTGCAGTCGGAAAAACGATCGCAAAATCGCACTGTGCGGGAAAGAATCGGAAAAATTTTTTCAATATGAGTATCAGGGTGAAAATCTGAGTCAGAAAATATAAAAATTATTTTTTGGTTGCACTGTGCAACACGATTTTTCTATTTTTTTTGCTTCTGCACTGTGCAGTTGGAAAAACGATCACAAAATCGCACTGTGCGGAAAAAATCGGAAAAAATTTTTAAATGTGAGTATCATGGGGAAAATCTGAGTCAGAAAATACAAAAAAAATTTCTTGATTGCACTGTGCAACACGATTTTTGCACTATTTTTTGCTTTGCACTGTGCAGTCGGAAAAACGATCGCAAAATCGCACTGTGCGGGAAAGAATCGGAAAAAATTTTTAGAATATGAGTATCAAGGGGAAATCTGAGTCAGAAAATATAAAAATTATTTCTTGGTTGCGCTGTGCAACACGATTTTTCCATTATTTTTCCCACTGCACTGTGCAGTTAATGGAACGGCCCAAAAATCGCACTGTGCGGAAAAATATTAACTCAAGAAATGTTGTGTAGCAAGTTATCATTCCATACGCGATATTTGTGAGCAGTACAAAACTTTCTTTGTCTTCCAATTTGCACTGTGCAATCTGTTTCCCGCGCACAGTGCGTAAATCATTTTTAATTTGTTTA